AACGGGATTGAACACATCCCATTCCAAGCAGCCTTTTGCGAGCTAGCTTCACATGAAGCCAGCCACTGAAGCAAATGCTAGACGCATTAAACACGTGCGCCAGAATCGAAATCGTACCTGCTGGAGAGTTGCGGCTCCAGCGATGCAAAGCGTCCAACAAGGTCTGTGCGCATTTCGCAAGCCAGCAGTCCTGTGAGCAGCCGCATCAGGCCGGGGGTGAAGCTTGCTACAAGGCTCTGGGCGGAGCAAAGCTGGCTGGGTCCCTTAGCCCAATGCTTTGCTCAAGGCAACATGATGCCCCTCATGGTCATCCAGCAAGCATAAACAAATCCCGTGCCAAGCAACCTCTTGCGAGTTACCTTGATGTGAAGCCAGCCTGTCAAGCAAATAATACACAGCCTTGCAAGCATATTTGCCGGGAAGTTGCGGCTCTGCCGGCGCTGCAAAATAACACAATGCCGAAGCATCCAAAGCGATACGAACTGCTGCGTGGCAGCTTGTACTGCTTAACCGTGCTGGTCTGTGGCGGTACAGGGGAGGCCATAGGGCGAGCGGCAGGGCGTGCGCAACTATTTGTCTTTGCGTGCCGGATCTTGCACACAGCATTTTGCGCCACCCTGGCCTGATTTGCGAGTTGCAAGTAGTTGAATCAGGTTTTCCCGCAAATCGCCATGTTCGGTGGGACAGGGACCAAGCATTTTTAGGCTTTTGAGGAGTTCAATCGAAGTTTGCGGGTTCCGAAGGCAGTGTGGCCACAGCAGCTCACAGGCAGAAGGGGCACCACGAGTGCCATGTTTCACACATTGACGCGGTTGGACGCAACGGCAAAGAGAGAGAAAGAGAGGTCAAGGGATTGAACGCATTGCAAAGCCGAAGCACTTTTGTGTGTATGCGAGCGACGCCAGCCACTGAAGAACATGCTAGAACCTGCAGCGTTGAAGTGAATCGCAAGGCATGCCACCCTCAGCAGAATTGCTGGAAGTAGCTTCTCTGCCGGTTCTGCAAAGCAAGGCGTCCAACTCAAAAGGCTTGAGCGCTGCGTCTGGGACAAGCTGGTTGGGTTCAACGAGTCCGTGCTTTGCTCAATGCAACACCATGCTCCTTATGATTGTGCCAATGAAACGGAGCGATTTGAAGGTCTAAAAAACTTTGATAGCTTTGATGTGTTGCACCAATAAGGGCTAACACTGCTCCTTGAAGCCTGACAATTCAAAGCCAGAAGCAAATGCTAACACTGCGTCCCTGAGGCACACCCCGACGCGTGCCTGTGGCTGTTCCGGTCCGGTGCCAGGCAAGGCATCACAGACTCAAAAGGTGTGAAAACCGTTTGCGAAACACAGCAGTCTGGAGCTGCAAATTGCCGCGACCTTCTGAGAACAGTTGGGAACAGGAACAGGGAAGCTGCGCTGTCCAACGGCTCCCTCCTTTGCTCAAACAGGATTCTCCTCATGCCGTCCATGCAATTTGGATACTCCTACAAACGTGAAGAATACGCATTTCTTAAGCGCACTCCCAGGCAGTACTCCCATTTGAGGAAGATAGTACCCTTGCTTCCACAGAAACGCCTACTTCTCTACTCGAAAGATACAACGGCAGCCCTCCCTCTCCAAAACACAAAATAGTAAGTGAAGTACCGAACACACTGGGACACGAGGGCAAAATTCGCAAGAAATCATTTCTTTAATCAGAAGCACGCCTTTCGCCAGCTTGCACTGCTTAATCCACCGCTTGTCTTGGGCAACACTGAAGCATCCAAAGCGATACGAACTGCTGCGTGGCAGCTTGTGCTGCTTTAGCCCGCTGGTCTTTGGCGGTACAGGCAGAGGGCGAGGGGCATGGCATGCACAACTATTTTTCTTTGCGTGCCCCATCTTGCACGCCACCTTGTGTGCTGGTGGGGACAGGTCCTCAGCTTTTTCGGCAGAAGCAAGTACGGCGCTTGGGTGCATTCCATTCCAAGTAGCTTTTTGCGAGCTACCTTGATGTGAAGCCAGCCACTGAAGCAAATGCCAAACCAAGACAGCATCCTCGAATTGAAATTCAGCCCATGCCAGCCTTGAAAGCATCGCTGTGAGGCTCATGCTCTGCGGCTGCAAGGCAAAGCGTCCAACTCAAAAGCTGTGAGCCCTGCGCCTGCCAACCACAGAGGCAGTCTGAAGCTGCGGCTTGCCGCGGCCTTCTGTGCACAGCCAAGCTGGTTGGGTTGAACGACTCCGTGCTTTGCTCAAGTCAAGGCAACATCATGCTCCTTCTGATTGTGACATCTAATAGTTCTCCTTGCAGCCTGAACAAATCCAATTCTAAGCAACCTCCTGCGAGCAAAGCCAGCCACAGAAGAAAATGCTGGACAAACACTGCGTCCCTGAAGCAAATCCCGACGCGAAATTCGGATGGGTCTGTGGGTAATTTGAGCCACAGTCGTTCTTGCTTTCGTGCTTGGAGGTTACTATGTTGGGTAGCTTGTGCTAGATTCGGATCTTGGACGTGGCGGTTGAGCGCAAGTTCTGCTCACCTGTGTTGATAAAACATCTGCTGATCTAGAACCTGATGAAACCTAAAACAGACTTGGCCAAAGCGCTTCTCTGGACGCGACGGCGCAAAACACGTGCTGTTCACTTGGAACACTCGGACTCGGAGTTGAAGGTTGCAAGCTCGTTTCAGAGGTTGCGTTGTCCAGCTCGAAAAGCGCCAATCTCAGGGCCACGTCGTACTTGCCCGCTTTCAGATGCTTGCTGGCACTTCAGCTTGAGCCGCTGCGCACCTCTGGCCGCCGGAAGTACAAAAAATATATCCGCGTGCCAAAGGCAGGGGCACTCTGCAAACAAGGCGATTGGAAGCTTCACCAAAGAGTCAGTCGCGGGCCATGCCCAGGTCTTCCCTGGCTTATCTTGGCCAAAAACCATGCCCAGGTCTTCCCTTGGCCCCCTGAAACGTATCCTTGATTAAAGTTGGCTGTTCCGATAGGCAAGGCGTCCAACTCAAAAGCTGTGACTGTCTGACCACGATGGCAGTCTGAAGCTGCATTTTGCTGCGGCGTTCTGGGCACAGCCAAGCTCCTCTTGCGAGCAAAGCCAGGCACAGAACCAAATACTAGACAAACTCTGCGTCTACGAATCACACCCCGATGCGTGCCTGCCTTGAAAGCAGAGTTTGTGGGAAGTTGCTGTTCTGCCAGTGTGTGCAAGGCAAGGCGTCCAACTCAACGCAAGCCAGTTCCTGGACAACAGCCTGTTGTTGGACAATGCTAGACCAAGACTGCATCCTTGACTTGAATAACGATGCATGCCAGCCTGGAAGGCATAATTGCTAAGCCTTTTCAGGATTTGGCCACCTTGGCAACTGGTTTTCCTGTGATCAGACTCTATCTTTCGGGCGAGGGTGGGAAGCCACCAAGCGCCCACATTTTTTTACTCGGACTGTCATTCAAAGCAGTAAATGGTTGGCACATCCACATTGCCGTCCAGGCGCAGGGCCCAGGCAAGCATGTCTTAGCTTGCGGCATTCACAGCCAAGCTGGCTGGGCCCATTGGCGCCTTGCTTTGCTCAAGGCAACATGACGCCCCTCATGGTGCCACCCACTCATCCATCAAGCATAAACATATCCGACTCCAAGTAACCTCTTGCGAGCTACCTTGATGCGAAGCCACTGAAGCAAGTGCTAGACTCGACCAAGACCGCTTGACCTGAATCCCAACGCGTGCCAGCCTTTGTTGGCATAATTGCTAAGCCTTGACAGGATTTGGCCACAACTTGTTACTCATTTCCTGCGTGGGTTGGCCAAAAAGTCCAAACTGTTTCTTTGCCACTAACGCGGTCTGCTTCAATGCGTCTAAGTCCAGGAGCTCAGGGAGTGATGCTATCCTGTGATGGGAATCTCTCTTTCGCAACGTGGGAAATCTCCAAGCAGATTCACTGGGCCTGTGATTCAACCAAGGCTGCCATATCACAGCCCAGGCGCTCGGCAAGGATGCCTTGAATCAATAGGTGCGTGCTTAGCTGAGGTCAAGGAAAGCCTGCACTTCAGCTTGCGACTCCGAGTCAAAGTAATACCCGAATGCTTTTTGGGGCCCATGCCTCTCCGAGTCAAAGTATGGCATACCAGAATGGTAAAGCCTAATGGCACACGGGCTTGAGCCAAGCTTGTTGAGTCAACTCGGCAAGCAGCTACGTCACCATCAAGACCATGAAAAGAGGGCAAGCCTCTTTCAGAATCTATGGCTGAGACTGCTCCGTGACCTTCACTTCACCCCAAAGGACCTGAAAATACCAGCCGATCGCCTTTTAGGACCTTGACATGGACATTGGACAACCAAAAGTCCCGGCGTCCCTCTAGCCAAAGCGCCCGTTCTTATCGCGCAACAAGCTGAGCAAAGCTGATTCTCGAGCAAAGGACCCGGGAATAAAGCGTGATTTCCTTTTGGGACTTTGACCAGTGGAAACCCAAACCTGGAAAAACCAAAGGTCAATCTGTCGGTCCAAGGAACACAAAAGGGCTTCTGGTTTTCAAGCGCAGGCAAAGATACTAACCTGCCCCAGTTGACTGGCCAAGCACATTGACTCTTGAAGCTCCTGACATCATATGCCGCCAAAAAGTGAAACACCTCTGCTAATTCTATAGTTCAGAATCGGCGTCAGTGCTGTCTCCCAACCAGAAAAGTACGGCTGGCACCATGTCATTTCCATAAGTCACACGCCGGGGCTGGCTCAACGGACCTGACACCAGTTGACTTTCACAAGCGCTAGAAACTGTCAAACTCATGAGCCCAGTAGAAAATCCTCTCTTTTACAAACAAACAGTGCACAAATCCGTTTCCCAAAAGCTTGTGCAGTTGTCCAAAAGTGGCCGGAGCATCAAACCAAGTCTGCTTGGAAGGATAACCCCAACCAAGGAAGAGAAAGGAAGTAACACAGCGCCCGCAATGGACCACACATGCAGCAGTCCACTGGAATTGTCCCACCGATTTTTGGCCAACGCCCGTGACGACTTCGACGACGTTTGCCTTGACCACATAGGTGGACCAAGGTAGTAGCCCGGAGATGTTCACGTAGGTCTCCTGAGCTCCGGAGCAACTCTGGCAGACCATATGCCAGAGGATCGGATTAACTCTGCGTGGATTTCCAGGGAGAAAAGAATCGGCATCCTTTTCTGGTTGGACTTTAAACAAATCACAACCCAAAACCCAAAGGAAATGTGGAAAAAAAGGAAAAGCAACCCAACCCACTGGGCAGCTGGGATGAGCTCGTTGCTTTGGGGCAATTGGTCAACAACTCACGGGGCTCTGAGCATATCAAATATGGTTGTTTCAAGCGCCTTGTGTGTGTTTGTGTTTCGCGCGGTCGCGCGGGGTCAAACAAATATAGAGCACATTCCGCAATTGATTTCTATGTGTATATATATATATATATTGGTGTAGATGCATATTAATCAACTGCACGCGCGCACACATGCGCACACTCTATGCAGGAGATCATGTTAGTACTGGTTCTTGCACTGGAAATCACTCCGAAGACACGTTCACATGATTTACCCATTCTTTACTATCTAGAAATCATTTACACTGGGTAGAGAGTAATTAATATGGCACCAGAGTTCCCGTGTCTATCAGCAAAGAGGATGACAGAACCATGGGGAGGTTGTGCCATCTACCTTTCACCCTGTAGTGCTTACCAAGTTACATATGTTGCTTCTGGGTGTTCTCCAAGCTGGATTTCTCTTTGTTCAAAGCATCAACAGTAGAACAGTGGGAGGCGTTCAATAATCCCTCCCCCCTAATGCTAAACATGCACCAAATACTAAAACATATTTTTGAAAATCCAAAATCCGAGAATACTACCTTTAAGAACAGCCAATACTACACCAATTCTAAAGTAGGTATTTCCTGCCCGTGCCCAAATCCAGTCCTATTAGGGGGACGACCCGGGAGTACGTTTACTTACTACGGCTGTACGGGAGTACGGTTCTCCGAAAACGAACCGGGAACCCCTATTCCTAAAATACAATATTTTCCCGGCGAACCCACTTAGTATTTAGGGGTGGGGGGGCGGTTTAGCATTAGGGGGAAGGGATTATTCCTGGCCCCGAAATCACCTTGGGGAACCTTTCCCATGTCGGCAATGATCAGGTATTTTTTCTCGTGGTTTTCCAAGAAATGCTTGGTTGCTGTTGACCCCCCTGCAAAAAGTTTAACTTTTTGAGGGTTTACTGAACAACACCTTTATTTCAACCAAACAGTTAAAGTCTAAAAATATCCAACCCAATAGCAGTCAAAAAATGATTGTGTCTTTTTCTCCGTGGTTTTCCAACCAATGGTCCTTTTCACTTGATGAAGCCCTGTCAAACTCCGAGGGCTCAGAACCCACACGTCCAGCCCCAAAATGGGAAACACGGCCTCGGGCGTGTCCTGGGCCGAGATCTCCAGCTGCGTCGGCGCCAGGATGCCCAAGTCGGAGTCCAGGGCGTAGGTCAGCCTCGTGTGCGAAGCAAAAGCGTGGGTCCGACAGAAGCGCCTCCATGGGGGGTGGGGTGGGGTGGGGTGGGGTGGGGTGGGGTGGGGTGGGGTGGGGTGGGGTGGGGTGGGGTGGGGTGGGGTGGGGTGGGGTGGGGTGGGGTGGGGTGGGGTGGGGTGGGGTCGGGTCGGGTCGGGTCGGGTCGGGTCGGGTCGGGTCGGGTCGGGTCGGGTCGGGTGGGGGGGGGAGCCCAAATCAGCCCTTGTTAAGCCCTTATTAAGACCTTTTTCAAAGTCTATTTGGGCTCCCTCCCCCTCCCCTCCCTCCCTCCCTCCCAGCTCCCCTGATGCCTGGAGTCTGTTGCCCGTTCAAAAGGTCTTGTATCGCCAGTTGCTGTCTGTTCACACCAACTCTTTCTGTTTCTGGCCTAAAGTGTCTGCAAAAAGAGAGAGCAACTTGGCTAGGGAGACTCCTCAGGCGCGGGATACACCCAGAAGGTAGAAAGAAACAAATAAACAACACAACACAACACAAAACAAAACAAAACAAACAAACAAACAAACAAAGAAAGAAAGAAGAAACAAAAATAAAAATAAAGAAAGAAAGAAAGAAATCAAGAAAGAAAGAGAGACAGAAAGGTGGAGACAGGAAAGACAGGTCAGGGGAAGCCCAAGCAACTGGCCTGGGAGACCAAGAAACCTGGCGTCTTGAGTCGACAAACAAACTGGCCAACCCACGCTTTTTCCTTACAGACTCTTTTCGGGTTTCCTTGGGATTCCAACTGAGTTCGTCTCAAAATCCTGTCCCTTCCTTTGGTCCCTCTAAACCGCATCCCCCCTGGCAAAGTGGAAGGCTAGATACATGGAACTGGGTACCCCACCCCTTACCTTCCTTATCTTCTTTCGGCTCACTCCCCAAAAACCTCACACGCGGGATTCTTTGGGGAGATGTTAGCCAAAACGTTACAGAAGTTACAGGTCAAAGATCCAACCAAATAGCAGCTAACTTAGGGAACGAACCCTTGTTTCCCCAAAAAAACCAAAAACAAAACACCCCCTACTAATAAAACTGGTGTTGATTGATATGGTGTCAACATTCATGGGGAAAAACGCGTGTCTCTCACTTGCCCAAAGGACCCAAAAATAAAAGGTTCACCTTTTGGGGCCATGACTAAAAGCTGGAAAACCAAAAGCTTAAAAGGTCGATCCGCTTTGGGCAACTGAGGTCTTCTTCAAACCCATAAACAAATTTTGGGGTGCGCCAAGACGACCGACTCCTCCCCGACTCCCCGAATTCCCCGCCCCGCCTGTGCGCCAAGAGCTCCGCGCCGTGAAGGTTCGAGGGGTTGAAGCTGAGGACCATCGACCTGAGCTCGAAAACCTCCCCACATGGCGTCACCAAAGGGTCCACCCCGCAAACTTTCTTTGTTGGTTCTTCTTTAAGCCAAGGTAAACCTCCGGTTTTGTCCAGCGACCCTGGACAACGTTGGGGGGGGAACCCCTTTTTGGTGGGAAGGCCACGTTTGAAACAGCCACCAAAAACCAAGGGGAGAAAAAAGGGGTCCACTGAACAACTGAGCTTCCAACGAGAACTTTTCTCGGCCCAAAAATGAACGACCCCCAGCCCGATCTTTGGGCTAAGCCAGCTGAACAAACGAGAACTTGTTCAGGCGAAAACGATCCCCAGGAGACGGTTAGCCAAAACAGGCAACCTGGATCATGTTTTTCCTTGGGGGTACAGGTTGAGGCTTGGGGTTCTTGCTTGACGTTGGAAGGGGAGCAAAAAATCAGATTTTAACCGTTGAGTGGATTTGGATTTCAACCGCCAACCACAATAAGCAAGAATGTAAAAAATGTTTCCCAACAACAACCATGGGGGCAAAGGTTGAGGCTGGGCTTTTCCACTTGATTTTGGGGAGTCCAGGTCCCTCTGGTGTTCTTTGGGTTGGGTCAAGACGTCCCGTCGGGCTGGCTGACCATGCTTTTTGGCTTGAACATGGCGGGGGCATCTTTCCTGTTTTTTTTTTGTGTTTACGCTTGAAACATGAGATTCTGTTGTGAGGTTGAGTGCTGTTCGTCGGGGATTGCAAGGAACTGGGGATGCTCAGAAAAATATATAGTTGGATCAGTGGCAGGCCCCTGACGACAAACAGTCACCGATCGAGAGCGTGGCCCCAAGGCGACTCAGTTCTGAGTGGGAGCTCAGCAAGCAAAAAGGGATTTGGACGGTCCGTTGAGTAACAGGGGTGTTGCTTGTGCGGCGTGTGTCTGGGAACAACCACCCCACTCGTCACTGCATTCCCTTGAGCGGATTACCCTCACACACACCATATTGCTATGATTGTGCATGTGGGGAACACCCTGACCAACATACATCCCCATGCAGATGGCGTCACCAAAGGGTCCACCCCGCAAACTTTCTTTGTTGGTTCTTCTTTAAGCCAAGGTAAACCTCAGTTGTTCAGTGACCCTGGAAAAAAAGGGAACCCTTTTTGGGGAAGACCATTTGAAAAAGACAACAAAGGGGGAAAAACCAGTTGCCACTGAACAAACGGAGCTCGTTACGCTCGACAAACCGGCCGCAACTGCCCCGCAAAGCTGCGTGATGTCGCTGCCCGTCTGCGTCGGCGCAGGCTGCAGGCCCGGCGGAAGCGCGCAACGCATCTTCAGAGCCTCACGTCGAAACTCCTTGGGCCCAGTTCCCAGTATCAAGCGCCGCACCCCCAAAAAACCTTCCAGTTGCTTTTTCGAATTCGGGGAAGAAACCTGGTTCTGGCCAGTGATAGATTCCAACAGGGAAACAAAACAAGATTCTGAAGCAAATGGAAGAAACTCAGCTGGTCGCAAGATCCGCAAGATCCGCAAGATGTGGAGGTTTCTCCAAATGGATATCGAACCTAGGTTGGTCGGTATGGAACAGGAAACCAAAAGGAACACCGACGTAGTTTGGGGGCCAATCTCCTTTTTTGAGAACCCCCCCTTTGTCTTGACAAGTTTCTACTCAAAATGATCTTGCTCGATCAGCCCAGAAACCTTCGGGGAGTAAACCAACAGACCAGAACTCTCCAGGGTGCAGTTTCACTCCTGGGCCATCGTCAAGGCCGTCTCAACCTGCATAACTAGCAAGGTGGGTGATTGACCATCCCAAGTCACATGTCCGACCGCTTCCGGGCAGTAAACCGGGTTCCATTCGCAGCCCGCTGAAAGAATGAACATATTTCCAAGTGATAAACTCACTGTTGAAACGAATTGCGCAGAGCAAACCATCTGCTCAAGCAAGTGGAACTTAAGTAACATGGTCGAGGATTTGGAAGATTCTACATTCTTCAACGCACCGGACGCAACACTTTTACACAACTTATAATTGTTCATGGTGCTGAACATGAAAACCACCCGGATGTGCCAAACGGAAGTGCGGACATCGGCTTCTTCGGGTTTCGAGAAAAAAACAACAGCGGCATCCGAAAGAAATGTCAATACTCAGGATGTCGAATGAACCTCAGCTAGGTCCTCCAGTAGAAAGGTTAGAATAAGTTGGTACCCCTTTTTTTCTGCAGTCTATTTTAGAAGGAGAACCCTCCCAACCAAAAAAGAAACGGTAAAAGGGCACCTAGCTGGGGGACCTAGTCGGTGGAAAATCAGCTCAAGTTGCTGCCCGACTGTCGGTGTGGCAGGAAAAGCCTCGCACTCATCCCAGCCAGGAATGGATTTGGCCCACTGGTTGGCTGTCTCGAAATCCAGCCAAGAATCAAAGGCGGGTTCCTGCTACCAGAACTGGAACTCTGTTTTGTTTGCAGTAAGTTGTTCAAGACTTCTCCCAAATACCCAAAGGAAACTGATGTTTCTCCCGCCTGGGAGACCGTTTCCAGTGGTCTTTTGAGCTCGACTTGGTTGACGTTGGAAGGGGAGCAAAAAATCAAATTTTAGCCGTTGAGTGGGGATTTCGCACTAAACCAGAATAAGCAAAAAGGTAAAAAATAATTCCCATCAACCACCATGTTGCGACGTCGATCCGATCTCGCCTCCGAGGGAGGAGACTCCCCGATGTCGTTGACCGCCGTGAGTCGCACCCAGAAGGGCAAACCCACCTCCGCCACCTGCCGCCAGGCAGGACGCGCCGGTCCAAAAACAATGGAGGTGGCTCGTGCTTTTTGATTGGGGGGAGCGCCGTGTTTGGTTTCAAAGGGAAGCCAAAGGACTCTTGCTTTGGGGTGCACCTTTTGTTGCCGCTTTGAAAAGGAAGCCAAAGGAAAGCCACCATTGTTGGGAGGGTCCCGAAAAATTCACCCCTAATATGGGGGTGTCCCTGGGTTGAGTGGGGATTCAGTCCACTTTGGAGTGGAACACCCCAAAATGACTACGGAGGGGTTTATTCATTCGGGGTTAACATTATGGGTGTGTCGTTTTTTGGGGTACACCATGTTTGGGTGGTTAAGGAAAACTGAATCCATTTTGAAAGGTCCCCTACAAAAAGGACACCCCCATATGGGTGTGCCTCAAAATGAAATATGTAGCTCTCCTAAATTTTCTGGCTTCCCCTTCGTTGCCCCTCAAACCAACCCCAAAAGGCTACACGCAAACATAGACCCAAAACCAGCCACTATACGTTGCTCCTGATCGAAACAAGGTCTAAATGTCGATCACCGCTTCCAGTTCCTTTGCGACTCTCCAACCCTGCCCACCCTTCTTGGTTGACGTTGGAAGGGGAGCAACAATTTAATATTTAGCCGTTGAGTGGACTTGGATTTCAACCACTAAACCACAATAAGCAAAAAGGTAAACAAAATGTTTCCCAACAACAACCATGCCTTTTCTCGAGAACTGGGTGAGTTAGATCCCCAGGTCAAAAGCATTGCTTGGCTGTCGGGGCTCCATGCCACCGGCAAGATTCCAAGCGCCTCAGAGGCACCGGGGGTTTCGATCCCAAATGGATTCCCATTGCTATGAGTCGATGTTCGCATGTGGCATCCGTTTGGAACCCATTTGGAACGCCTTCCACGGGTCACCCAAAACATCATTGTTGGGGGGGCGGGCTTGGGACCAATATCCTCAGCTTGCGCACCTTGATCAAACGCTGAGCTTTTCGTGTCTGAGGACAAAAGCGCCGATCCGCGCAAGCAATTCACCATTGCCACATTGACAAGAGACCACCCTGTGTCTGAGCCCTTACGGAAATGGAAACGCAACAACTTCGTAGATCCAAAGGGGCCACGCGAACCTTTCGCGACTGGGCAGGTGGCAAAGCCATTCCGCGAACCCTTACGCGGCCCTCTGCGACCTAGCGAAAAACAACATGTTCATATTTCCTCTCGAATACGACTTTCAATTCCGGGTGATTAGAACGCTGCTCAAATGGGAAACCACCGCTTGACCACCAAACCCACCGGGCTCCTGAAGTCCACTGGAAAAGTATACAGTAGATGTCCATTAGTGATAGATTCCCTTTAAAGCCAAGCGGGGAAAATATAACATATTCATGTCAGCAAATGGAAGGCACTTTACAACCCTTGGTATGGTAAAAGTGCAAAGTGCAACCCCCCCACCTAAACAATGACGAGAACATAAAACAAAACAAAAACAACAACCCTAAAGCACAAACCCCAAAAGAAACACCTAAGCTTGGTTGACGTTGGAAGGGGAGCAACAAAAATAAGTTTTAGCCGTTGAGTGGACTTGGATTTCAACCACTAAACCACAATAAGCAAAAATGTAAAAAATGTTTCCCAACAACAACCATGTAAAACACCACAAACCCCAAAAGAAACACACAAACCAGCTATGTTTCCCAATAACAACCATGCGTTTCGCGCCTGCCACCAGTGAGGCACACCACTCTGATTCTCTCTCGCCGTCTCCCGGCGCCTCGCAGTCCAGCGATGCGTTCCGCGCCTCCGCTAGCGCGGTGCCGCTGACGTTGCTGGGCCAAGTCACCCCGTCCGTAGAGCGGTAGATGTGCCACGCGGTGAGCGGCGCCCCGCCCAGAGCGCGCACCTCCTGGGGACCAAAACCGGAAGGGGAACAGGAAAAAAATGCCAAGAAGGTGGGAAGACACCACATATGGCCTTGGTTGACGTTGGAAGGGGAGCAACAAAGCAGTTAAGTGGGGATTTCCCACGAAACCGCAATAATCAAAAGTGTAAAATGTTTCCTAACGACAACCATGTGGCTGTGGGTCAAAGACATGTACCAAAATGGCACCTTGGTAAATAGAACCTAAGACTAAAACCGGCGTAACCCCAAGCGTTAATTTTGAGCCACAGCCATATACCTAGCTGAAGTGAGGTGCCAAAAAAGTTGTTACCTAACATGATCCTAACACGGTTGTCCGCTTGGAAGCCAGTCAATGGCACCCCCTCAACAACCTTCCGTGCCGTCAGCATCTTGCCAGGCCACCAGATGGCCAATGGCCTTCAACCAAGATTTCCATCCGCTTTTCGCCAGGCACGCTTGGAGTTGACTTTGAACTCTGTTTGTCTCTATGGTGATCCCTCACAATGGGTTTCCTCTTCATCAAAAAGAGGCTCTCTCTCAAGAAAAAGCGCGCTTTCAGGGGTTGCTGGCTTTCCCCTTGCCACTTTTGCAGGTCCCAAAGGGACCCCCGTTCAAGGGCCCCCCAAGAAGAAAAACAAAGCTTGGGGTGCTCACAATCTCCAGCTGTTCGAAATCTCCAAAGTCAGTCCTTCGGGAAGGCGTGTGTGGGGTGGAGGGTTGGGGGTGGTGTGTGGCGGGGGTGATGTGTTTGTGTTTGAGAGGGGGAAAAGCTTTGCGAAGAGGCTGCATTTACCAATTATTGGGACATGATTCGGGAGAGGATGTCTGGCTTAGATTAAGTTTCCCCACACAGACCAGGGCCGTTATTTTATTTTATGTTTTTAACGACCCACCATTTGTGGCGCAATGGTTTTCCCTTTGATGTCCCTTTAAAACCACCAAGAAAGGGGTACCATGCAAAAAACCAAACCCCGATTCATCTTTCAGGACTGCAATTTAATCACCGAGAGAAGGTCACAAGGCCTCTTTGGACAACTAGTGAAAAGAAACACACCAGGGCGAAAGTAGATGGCGAGACTGCGCGACATGTTTTGTCGACAACGGGGGATTGTGCCATCTAAGGGGAAGCCGCCTAAAACACACACACACACACTTTCCTTCCACACAACAACGATTTTGTATACCTACATCGAGAAGGGGGAGACACCTACCATCCCTTCCCCCCAATTTTCCTCCCCAGAACAACCCCCCCCAAATCCCCGCCGTGGCAAGCAGATCCTCCGTCCAGGTCCACTGGAACTTCAGCTTGGGCAGACGCGTGGCCAACGGCCCTTCGGCCGGACTCAGCGGGGTGTCGTCCCAGAGCCAACCGGCGTGGAGCGGGATCTTCAGGTAGAGCCGGCCATCGCTGCCCAGCTGCTCCTGGTCCCAAAGTCGGTCCCTAGAGCCACGGTCAAATTTATATCTGCGGGATCAAGTGGTCCAGGAAACCACAGAACAATACTTGACTTGTGTTTCTTCTTTTGGGGCAAATTGCCATAGTTCAGCCGAACATAAGACATGGGTCAGCAGTGAATGAGTTGGAATGACCCCGAAACAAACACTGTCAAATCTATATCTGGGTTGATCAAACGGTCCGGTAAACATGGGACCATCAGGGAAACCACAGAACAAGATTTGTCTTTCCCCACTAAACCAATTTGAAATTTGGGAAACAGGAATCTTGATCAGCCGCCATATCTTCCTTCTGGCCAAACATAAGACATGGTTACTTGCTGCGACTTGCTGGTCAGCAGGGAATGTGTTGGAACGACCCCGAAACAAACGCATCCCCTATGGTTTCCTTTCAGGCACTCCCCCTATCGCACCAGCAATACCCAGCTGGCGAAGCGAAGAAAAGGAGTCGGGCCACGTCTTAATCCTCGCCCTTCATGCGGTGGGCTCTAAAGACTAAGACTTGGTTGACGTTGGAAGGGGGCAAACATTTAAATTTCAGCAGTTGAGTGGATTTGGATTTAACCACTAAACCACAAAAAGCAAACATCTAAAATGTTTCCCTTGTAAACGGAACCAGGGACTAAAACCTGCGGCGCCCTGGTGGATTCATTCTGACCCATACCCATGTGTTGGTGGTTTTGTTTTCCGCTTGGGGGGGGGGGCTGTATCCCGCCCCTGGCAGCCCCCCCGGCCCACCCCTTTCGCTACATGTGACGACGGCGAAGATTCCCTGGCCGCTAATCCCAAGGTGAAATCTCAACACGACTCCACCTAAAATGGGGAGGAGGGTTCTCGGAATAGTGGTCCTTCATTAGCTATAGTTGCCTCTTGGTTTACCTTTAACCACCAAACCACCAACAAAAGGGATCGGAGATCCAGAGGGCTTCTTTGGAAAAACCCCTTTCAAATCGCCATTTGGGGTTTTGGGTGCTGCTCCGCTACTTTCAGCTGACCACAGACAGGGTGGCTACAGACGGGTGGGTTCACAAGAACTGGTCCACAGAATATGCGAATGGCCCAAGGGGTTACAAATCAAACAGGGCTCCCTATATTTCCCTTTAAAACACCACCCCCACCAAGGGATACTTGCCTTTCATGGACCAAACAGGTGATGTTTAAAACCACCAGAAAAGGGAAATATAGGGACCCCTGTCAAAGCAAGGGCCCAGGGGTGCGTACAAATCAAACAGGGGTGTATGAATCCACTGTTTCCCATTCGTCCCTTATCACCATTTAGCGGAAGGGACCCGAGAATTCATATGCGACATGTGGCAAAAGACCTTGGAGTGTACCGTTGACCAATGTCAAAAGCAGTGCTTTAACCAACCCGCACGAATGATTCTCTTAGTAGCTGCCAAATCATTCCCCCGGGCACCAAAATGCTTCGCAAAACGGGTTCTTCCTCAAGTTCCAAAAACTGTCATTCTTGAGTGGAGCGGCTGGTTCTTACACTCTTGCCTCTAGGGTGTTCTGAAATTCCGTGCAAACAACTCGTGTCATCTAAGACCTCATTCAACAGGGGTCGCTGGATTTCCCGACGTTGAAACGATGAAGCGATCGATTTCCACGATGGCTTCCAGCCTCGGAGACTTCCAGCAGCGTGCCCGCGGTCACCGTGATGAAGGGAAAGACCCTGATCCATGAAGCCAACTGGTCGAAACATGAATGGGCCACGCTTAACTGCCGTATTGCTGCGCATGGAAAATGTGGGTGTTTCTCAAATTTTCAGGACTCCAAGTAAGTGGGTTCCTTTTGTCTTCCTTTGGGGGTTTTCTATTTTGAGAAACACCAAGGTCTTTCAACCACCTCTCCGTTGGTCCCTGCACGCGGGTGCACCCTACAGCCCCCCGCCTGGGCGCGTCGATGCTGGCCTCGAATCGGATGTCCACAGACGCGATGGTCAGGACGTAGTTTTGCGGGATGGGGCACAGAGCCTGCCGGAGGGGGGGGGGGGAAAAACAGGAGCAACAGGGCTCCAAACCTATTTGGCTGTGGTTGTCGAAACCAATGGGATCACAGTTTGGGGTAGGTGCACCACCTTGGAATGCTCACGGGGTACAGGATTTTGACTCACAGCCACATATCTTTCCCAATCAAACACGGAGTTCCCCCCCCGGGTAACTACTTCCCCCCCAACCACATCACCCCCAAAGGCAACTCCCATAGCCCATGGGCCAAGGTGATGTTTCACATCAAAAAGGGGAATTTAGGGGCGCACTTCCGATGGGCGATGGGCCAAGCAAGTAGCCAAACCTCTTGTTTACCAACAAGTATAGGCCAAAAGGGAGCGAGAAAAACAAAAAAAGGATGAACCCGCCGGGCCGACACATATGCAAGACATCACCTATCTGTGAAAATGGAACCGTGGTAAGTGGAAACATGGACCAACACCTGCGTAACCCCTCCTGTTTAATTTTGAGCCACACCCATCTGTGAAACCTATCGAGTGCTTCAAATTTTCATCCTTCCTCTTGGTATCAGAAACCGCCGATCACCACCCGACCCCAAGCCAAGGGGGTACCTTTTGCCCAAAGACACACCAAACCAGGGCTGTGGGGAATGACCACTTCTGTGATACAATAGAAAGGGCTTCCCAAAGACTAATTTGATCATAGAAACGGAGATTCCCTTGTATCACAGAAGTGGGGATAAACCCCTTGATCCCACAACCCTGCACCAAACCATTTGTCCGCCTTCAAACCATCTCTGGGTCCTCCAGTAGAGAGGTTGAAATAAGGGCTCCAACTTGTTTTTTTCTGTAGTCTATTTTAGTAGGGGAACCCTCCCAACCAAAAAAAAGGTGAGAAACCGCACTGGGGGACCAAATCGGACCAAGCAACAAGTCTCACCGAGACAAAACAAGCAGCGCCATGTTCGCGAAGTAGTCAACTTTTAGTGGGGTTGTCGTAGAAACCCTTTTCAACACTCAAAATTGGACACAACAAATCCGCCCCCTTTTGTTCCTATTTTAGTAGGGGAACCCTCCCAACCAAAAAAGGGGAGAGAAAGGGCACCTAGCTGGGGGACCTAGTTTCCTTTAAAGCCAACCGGGGAAAAACACACATAGTTATTTCATCAAACGGGTGTCAACATGGCTTCCGTGTTCCTGCTGGTTTCCCTTTACAACCCCCCAAAACAAGGGCCGTGAACTCTGTGTTTCAACCCAACCCAACATTGGTCGAGTTTCCTTGCTTCCGTTTAAAACAAAAAGAAAACCGCCGAATCTTTGTGTGTGTTTTTTGTTAACCTCTCCGTAATAATAATAATAACAGCCAAGGGTTGGTACCTTTTTCCCGCTCAGACCCAAAGCCATCGACACCTCTCCTTGGTGGTGTCCCACACGATGGTGCAGTCGTCCAGCAGCCTGGGCGCCTCCGGCGCCAAAGGCGCCACCGCGGGCGCCAAGCTCAGCTCAACAGCCGTACCCTCCCCGGCCTCCGAGACCGCGGTGACCTGGCGAGGGGGACCCATAAGCTTTGGCGACCCATGGGCGTTGGCGCCTGGAGGGAAAAGAACACAGAACATGGGGGGAACATGGAAAAGGCGCCTGGAAAAATGGACAAAAATGCGCCTTTTTATTCACCAAACCAGGGAATAGAGTGATGAGTTGTTCCCTTTGTATTCACCAAACCAGGGAAAATAGTGATGAATTGTTCCCTTTATATAAACCAACCAGGGAAAATCAATAGCATATTCTTAAGCAAATGGCAGTAAGGGGGGGAGGTGGGTGGAGGCGTGTCTCACAGGGCTCCTGAGAAAACCAAGAATATAGTGCAATCAGCCTTCAAACATACACACCCTCGGTTGCCTTCTGCTCCCCTGCTAAAAGTTTCAGTGGCTTGATACGGAAAACATCGGAAACCCATTAGTTGGCCAAAAGTGATTCAGTCCTAACATCCCTTGGCAAATTGCACCAAAGCACCCGTACGGGCGTTTTTTGGGGATGGATGTGTCTGAACAGGGATCCTTACATTATACGCGTGAACATTGTCTTGTAAATAGTGGTTTCCCTTTATGTTGGTGGAAAAAGCCATGTTTGAATTGGGCAGAATGTATCTTTTAAGGAGCCCTGCTAAACCGCCTTGTACTTGTAGCTTCGGCCCTGCTCCGCGGCGTCATGGCGGAAGGTCCGGATCGCGGGATCCTGCTGGGACATGGGCATGTTCCACTCCCCCTAAGACCACCATTTTGGAGGGGCCTCGATAATACACCCCTATTAGTGTGGGGGTTATCCCGGATAGTTATCCCTGACGTCCTCGATGATGCTGCGCAGGGTGTACAGGTCTTGGGCATCTGCGGAGTTCCCATCATCCACGTAGACCTTCGACACCCATTCTTCCTGTTGGTACCTTCCCATTCTTGCCATGGATGCTTCTTTCTAAGCCTCCGGAAACCAGAACACATGGATGGCTTTTGAAAAGAAAAACAGAACCATGGTTCTGGGTGGTGCGTCCCAGTCTGTGCAGTGTTTTTCTCCACCAGCTTTTCACGCGTTTACCACGGTGTCTCCACCAGTGCTTTTTTTCTTCGGGTCGTCAAATCCATGGACATTGCCAAGGCACCAGCAAAGCGAACTGGTACAAAGCTATGGAGCCCCAACGAAACCGAAGAACCTCACGTTCTGAACCCGAGGAAAAGGTCGCCAACACCTCGTGGAGGTGATCGATGGGAAAAATCCATTGGTCAAACCAAAAGTTTTGTCCTTTTGAGGCGATGGCGGAAAAAAATACAAAAAAAAAGAAATGAGTTGCCATGTCTTTCGAGTGGGACATTTTGCAGACTGCAACCGCCAGGAGAAATGGGCTGGTGTCTGAAAAAAGGATGTTGGACAGGATCTCACTTCCTGAATGGATTGGCCCGAAAACAAGTGTGAACTTGTTTGGTTTCCAAAATGGTCAAGTGACGAAAGTCCACAAAGCTGAAAACCCAGAGGACGAGTTTGGGCGCTGTTTCCCTTTTCCATATGGCGGTGGTTGTCAAAACCAGGGGACCGCAGGTTTAGTCCTTCTTTCCATACCAGGGCTGCATTTGGGGTACCTATTTTTGACCCACAGCCAAATGGCAGTGGTTGTCAAAATCGTTTTGGGATCCCATTTTGGTGGGTAGGCGAATTCGCCATTTTAGAACCTATTTTAGTGGTTGGATTGGGATGAATTCACTGGGGGGCTAACCGATTTGGCTTTTGACCCATGGCCATGTGCTGACCTCCACGACGATCCAGCTTTCTCGGTTGCGATATCTGCTCCCCTGCTAAAAGTGAATAACTTTTGGTGGCTTAATACGGAAAACCCACTATAGTTGGCTTTTGGTGGCTTAAATACGGAAAAAGCCATTGGAAACAAGTTATTCAGTCGTGACATCCCTTGGCAACATGCACCAATGTTTTTCAGGTGCTCCTGGCTCGGCGGATCGTTTTCCGGAGCCTTGTAGCCTAACAAGACCGCGTCGTGCAAGTCGGCGGGCTCGTCCCAGGTGATGTAGCCTCAAAACTCCGCTTGTGACGAGAAATTTGCTTCAACGGGACCCCAGGTGTTCCCAAGTTTGTTCGGGAGCCGCTGAAGTAAAGTGCAACAAAATGCACTAACTCATTCAGATCAAGACGATTCTTTGCTTTCATCCCACCCTAGAGCCCCCAAAAATGTGCTGTGGGGTACTGTTTTAACTTCAAGCGCCGCCCCCTCCCCCCAACAACCCAACCCAGCCCCCAACCCAACCCCCCCCCCACTCCCCCAACCCTCCCCCAAATCGGCTCGCAACCCGAGCCGAGGCGCTGGTGCCTAGCGAGCCTCCCTCGAAGGTGGCGCCGCTGAGCCGCAAGTTCTGCACCGCCGTAGGGGGCTGCGAGCAGCGCCCGGCCGTCGCAATGGACAGCGGCCCCCGGCCCGCGATGGAGCGGGAGGCCACTTTGAACCAAAGGAACCTCGAGTTGGTGGCGGCTGGGGTGTGGGGGGGGGGGAGGGGGTTTCTCGGTTTTTTTGGGGAATCTGACCCCCCGCGGATGAACCTCCAGGAGTGGGGGCTGGGGTGGGGGTCGTTTCTTCTTGAATCCGACCTTTTCTTTGGAATCCGACCCCACGGAATTTGTGTGTTCCTCTTGGTTTCCACCAAAAAAACAAACCCAAAAAAGGAGTGCCAACTCCAAAAAAGACACACCCAAAAAAAAGGTCCTGTTGTGACCCTGCTTCTGGGTGGTTTTCAAGGGAAACCAGGGAAACACCCAACAGTTTGGTGAGCCACAGTCAAAACAAAGGTTTCCCAAAAGGATGGTTTCCCAAGAAAGGGGGGATTTAAAGAATAGATGATTGAACTTTTTATCATCTTTTAACAGGGTTCTGCAGTAACACGCCCATACACTTCATGTATGCGAAATGTATACCCGCATGCACCCTCCAAATGCGCTGAATGCTGTATATTGGCTACCTGAATTGTCATGGGAATGGTCCCATGGGTGTTTTCTCATTGTTGTGCAATGGTCGGCTTCCGTTTGGCTTCCCGTTAGCTATGAAAAGGGTGTCCATTTTCGCACTTCACACGAAACCTGATTGTTTCATTCTTTATGCTATTCGAAGGGCGGGGGGGCGGGGGGGGAGGACACGAAAAGCCCTCCACCCAAAGGAAAGGCTCGAAATGAGCCTTACATTCCTTTATTTGCCCAAAGGACCTGAACATAAATTGGTTAATCTTCTGGAACCCTGATTAATCAAATTATGGACCAAATCAGGGAAATCCGCCGGTTGGAATCGCTCGATTCGTTTTGAGAAAGGCAGGTAATGCTTCTGAGAAAACCTTTCTGGTGAGAGGGCCTCATTTTTCCCGACAAGCGGGGGATCCATTTCTACCGGGTTGGCTCGGCTTCAGCGCTTTGGATCTATAAAGCTGGGGGGGAGCATGAGTTGGACACTTGTTGGAGGGCAAAATCAATTGTTTGGATGAGTGTGTTTGAATAGCCCAAAGAGTACTTGAACCTTGGAAGAGGTCCACCTTGGTTGGACAATTGCTGGGTTGGACACGCTTGAAAGAGCCCAGACCTTGGAAAGTAGAACTGGGGAGCGCTGCGACGTGTTCCTGGAAGCCGGCGAGGGAGATCAGGGGATGCCAGCTGCGAGCACGAAAAAGTGGGGTTCGCGGTTTGGCGGAGAAAACAAACAAAACAAAAAAAAAACAAAAAAAAAACAAATAATAATAATAATAATAATAATAATAATAAAAATAATAATAATAATAAAAATAATAATAATAATAAAAATAATAATAATAATAATAAGAAGAAATAAATAATAATAATAATAATAATAATAATGATAATAATAATAATAATAATAATAATAATAATAATGATAATAATAATAATAATAATAATAATAATAATAATAATAATAATAATAATAATAATAATAATAATACTAATAATAATAATAATAACAAATAAATAATAACAAATAAATAATAATAATAATGATAATAATAATAATAATAATAATAATAATAATAATAATAATAATAATACTAATAATAATAATAATACTAATAATAATAATAATAATAATAATAATGATGATGATAATAATAATAATAAGAAGAATAATAATAATAATATAGTAATGTTTAATAATAATAGTAATAATAATAACAATAATAATAATAATAATTAATAGTAATAAACGCAACGGGTAAAGAAGATAATTCATCAGCAACTCAAATCAAAATTCAAACACAAGGGCAAGGGGTTCGTAACACCAGCCCCCCGTTTCAGGTGCCTGGCGGGCGAAACGCCGAAAGTTTCCCAAAGGAAAGGATCCTCACGAAGATGCCTTCATGAATTGCAAACCACCTCAGGTCGGATTCTGGAGTTCAAAAACACAACTCAAAGGTGTGAAAAGACTGGCTGGGAAGATGACCCCTCCCCAAAAAAACGCGAAAAGAGCGGGACTATCGCTAGGTTTTGCTATTGACTAGGATTGGCCCTGGTTGAAATTGGCCCATGCGTTCTGAGTAGATTCTTTCGGACTATTTTGAGTCATTTCTCGGTTTCATCCCAGGGACATCTTAAAACCTCTACCCAAACCTGCTCACGCCCATCCTGGTTTCCCCCCCAAAAAAGCTGGATAGCTGGGTTTCCCTGAGGGGCTGAAATCGATCACAGTTCACAGAATTGAGGGAACTGAGGACGGGCACGCCGTTTCTGGGGGACCCTCCTTTTGATGTCCCTTCAAACCAACTAAAAAAGAAGGAATATCCTGAAAAAAAACATGTTCCATTGAAACCAACCACAAAAGGGAGGTATCCTTAAAAAGACACACACACACACACAGACCACACCCATGTTTCCAGCCGATCAAGGCACTGCTTTGACCGACTCTGGCCACCCAGAAGACTCGTGGCCGTGCAGTCCATAGTGTAGGTGGTCGTGAACTCGTCCTGTGGATCGATGCTTGCTGGAGCCATAGGCAGGGAATAAGAAATGGAATGAACCGGATTTTGGGATTTCCCGAAAAAAAGCAACCACCAGTTGGATGTAATTATAAAGGGCTCACTCCATATCTCATTCCCTGCCTATCGCACCAGCAAGTGAGGGAAAGGTTTGTGGCGTGGTCTTTTTTCGTGGGACCCCCCCCCAAAGCATGGCATAATGTCTCAACATAGCCATCGGACCCCGAAAGAAGCCAAGGGTATCTTTTGGGTTTCCTAGTCTTGTACCGAGCCTCAAAAAGACACACCAAGACAGGGATAATCGAAACTACATGGTGTATGGGTACAGAGGCATGGGTGTGATCCAGCCTGTTTCTGATGGGTGAAATGAGTGTTGCTCCGAATTCTGGGTGTATGAGTGCTCGGGAAAAGGGATATGAGTGTTCTGGGTACATGGGCACTGCTCGGTGAAAGCCAGTTTGGCCCAAACAAGAAGCCAAGCTTTTTGGTTGCCATGGTCCAGAGCTCAAGTGACACCGGCTGGCCCAACGGTTGTCTAAACAATTGCGCAACCCGATTGAACCGCGCAAGGACCCGGAGAAACGTCCGAGACTTGTGGTTCTACATTCAAGCTTCTGTTTGTGGATGTGCCATGTTCTTTAAGGGGAGCCCAGAGCATGCTTTGTTGTCCCATGTGGTTTCCCTTTTGGCACCAACCCCAAGTTGGTACCCTTCGCCTCCAAAAAGGTCACCTGAAATCGTCGGCCGAGCAGAGGCGGGAACCAAAGCCATCCACCCCTCAGGGCTGCGTTTTCGATTGGCTTGGCAACCCAACTTCCTTGCGGAGGAAGTCTCGCTTCCTTTTTTTGTGGTCTCGAAGTGTTCTGCCCAGATTGGTGCAGCTGCAGCTCTGTTCCGGTGATGAGAAGGAAAGGTCATCCTTCATTGGCTGACGAGAAAAAGTGGCCCCCCTTAAAAAAAGAAGGAAAACAAAAACGAAAACGGGCGAGGCAATCCAAGGAAAATCGGTCCAGGGTAAAACTGAGCCCCCCCAGACCGACTTTTTGTACGGCCAGCGCCGCTTCCCGAAGCATCGACCCTCGACCCGGGCGTCCTGCCAGGTGGTGATATAGCCTTCCTCATTTGGCCATGTGGTGCCATCCACCGACACGTAGACGTAGTACCTGACAGGTGCTGAATGGCTTGCTGGTGCAGGCAGGGAATGAGAAATGGAAAGAACCCAGAGGTCCCCTTAAAGGAAACCACAAGGGATGGTTTATAGGGGTCGTTCCCACATTCCCTACTGAGCACCAGCAAGATGAGGTACCAGAGATGTTGGAACCTGTGATTTACCGTTGGAACCAGAGAAAGTGCCTTAAGCCTTCAGCAACCGACGGATTAATGAGTTGAAACCACAGCGTAACCACACGTATTGAGCATAGAATGCTGAGGAACCAAAAGAATCCCCTAGGCAACCATATGGAATAGCCCCCTGAACCATCCCTCATGACTGTACTTTTCATTCCCTGAAATGGTTCCATGGGAAAGAAAGCAAGCAAGCCAATTCATTGATGGCGTGTCATGGTCAGCTTTACAGCAGAAGTGAAGACCTTTCCTGGAAGTGTTCCTCACAGAAATCAAAATAACAAACAGCACCCCCCCAACAAATACTTTTTCCCATGTCCAATATCCCAAGTACTGTCCAAGAAGCAGTGGTTGGGGGTGCTGGAAACCATCCATGTTTAAGGTTTCCAAGATTCGATGCGGGGCAATCAAATATCAGTGCCCGTGAAGTTCCCGTTTAAAGGGAGGGACAACATGGTCCCAACAACAATACGTCCCCTTCTTGCTTGACCTTCTGTGCTTATGTTGAACGTGGCCATTGAAGGCTGGCACAAGTGGTTGTGTCCTTTTAGGAATCAGACCCCTCAAAATGGATTTCGGTGTTTCTTTCGGTTTCCATTGAAAACGCACAACAAAAGGGGGCGCCAGCTCCGAAAAAAAGAAAAAGAAGACGAGTGCCACCCATGACACTTGCAGGGGACATAAATCGGAACTCCCAGATTCCAGTTGATCAGAAACATCAGGAGGTCGAAAACCAAGCAATCCAAATTTTGCAAAGCCATCTTAGATGGGAATCCATGGGTCAAAATCCCGGTTATCCCCCAGTGAACATCCCATTCAATCCAACCACTAAAATAGGTTCTAAAATGGGTGGTGCACCGAAAACCCCCAAATGGTACCATTGGTTTTGACCCACAGCCAAATGGGAATCTATGGGTGTTCCATGTTTGCTTGCGGAACGTATCAACAGATGAATAAAAATTATTCCAAACCAGCAACTCAAACCCACAAAAACAAACAAACATCCAAGACATGAGGAAAACGCCCGTCCACAGTGGCTTAACATGGCTTAACAAGAACCATCCAACAAATCGAATGGGTTTCACTCTCGATCTTCGGGACCCATCTGAGCTGGGTCCCCGCGCCCCGTGGTAAAGGCGCCCCGCTCCTTCGAGCGGTCCAGGGACCAGGCCACGTGAATCTCCTCACGTCGAACATCTCGACCGGACCTTCCTCTTTTTGAGGTGTCCCTCACCAACTAGGTCCTCCAGTAGAGAGGATAGAATAAGGGTACCCCTTTAGTCTATTTTAGAAGGGTTCCCCAAAAAAAGGGTAAAAAGGGCACTACTGGGGGACCTAGCAGCAAGTCTAAGCTGGCCAAGGGGCGATCGATTCTCTCACACCAAAAAAAAACCGCAGCGCCAGGTTTGCGAAGTGATCGACTTTCAGTGGGGGTTGTCGACTTTCAACTCTCAAAATTGCACATACCAAATCTGACTCCTTAACCAATATGGGAAATCTCTGTCCTGACTATGTCTGGACCTGATAAGTTGTTTGTTTCCCGTGCTGAGTCAAAATCAGCCGCAGGCTCCATTTTTGGTGATACCCTGGCAATCAATCCCTTTAAGTTTCACAGCTTTTAATCCAAAGGAAGCAGTTGGAAATGACCACTTCTGTGATACAACAGAATTGGTTAGGGATTTGAAGCCCTGGGTTCTTGAGGGTCAATGAGAAACCTAACCACCAAACCACCCAACCACTCCAAGCCACCCATTGGACCAATTCGGGGGAAAGAAGTTCGCTTCGCCCGCGCGTCGAAACCCACCCCCGCTGACCGCTGACCCCCTTCCATTTGTTGAAGGCCCCAGGAAAAAAAAACATATGTCCAGTAGTGATGAATTCCTTATTTTTTCCGACCAACAAGGGGGAAATATATGTATATATATATATATGCTACCCCCCCCCCCCTGAAATATATATATATATATATATATGTGTATATATGTATATATTCATTTCAGCAAATGGAGGCCCCAAAAGGCTTCGAGCGCAGGCGCTGTATCCGTGGAGGAGGCGATGGAGACGCGGGGCGGCAGCGGCGGCAGCGCCAGCTTCGTGAGGTCCAGCCAGTCCGACCACGGCCCCGAGCCCACCTGTCAACCGAAGGGTGGGCGGGGGTGGGAATGGGAGGGTTGGTGGGGGGGGGGGGGGGGGGGGGGGGGGGGGGGGGGGGGGGGGGGGTGTGGGGGTATGGGGGGCAGGGCAGTATGGAGGGGGGTGGGCGGGGGGGTGGGGGACGGATGTGCTGGTCCAAGAAGGCGTTTGATAGGTTTGTTTGTGATCTTCTTCGGGGTGGATGATGTGTGTTTTGTCAGGAACAGGATTCTCAAGGAGTTTCCCGCTATGTGTTTGATGTTGGGTCCATCTGACCAAAGCCCGCTTACAGGGCTTGCTGTGGGAACAGCCATGGGGTTGGGGAAAAGGAGAACCCATGGTGGGAAAACGTTCGAAACATAGAAACATCGACAACAATAACAATAAAGAGGGGGTCCCTTTGGAGACTACTTGGATCTTGAACCCACTTAGCAGTTTTATGAGCCAAGGGGAAGCCCTCCTTCAACCCTCGTAGGTTGTAACCAGTGATTATTTGCTTTGGGGCTTCCGGCCGTGGAAAAAAAGGCGCAGACTTTATGGGTAGATTCTCTTGGTTGGCGTTGGAAAGGGAGCAACAATTCAATGTTAGCAGTTAAGTGGGGATTTCCCACTAAACCACAATAAGCAAAAATGCAAAATGTTTCCCAACAACAACCATGTTCGGGGCCTTCATTCAGTCTTCTTCTTTCTGTTTTCGGCCATTTGGCTGCCTGTGTATTGGCGGGCGATTTGGTCCATTTAATGTTGCGTCCGCAAGGGGAGGAAGAACCGAAAAGCGGAAGAACCAAAGGATGGTCCATTTGGGGGGGGGGGGGTGTTTCTGCTATCATGCTTTTGGTGGTTTTGATCCATTTGGCCAGCCTCCAAATTTGCAAAAGGGAGCCTTAAAAGAAACCCTTTCCAAAGAAAGCGGAACTAACCCTTGGATCTTCTTGTTGGTCCCCTGAGCAAAAGGTACCATTAGTAGGCTTAGTGGACAAGTGCGTTTTTTAAACGTTGTTTTTTGGGGGGGCCTTTATGGCCACACGCTCCCCCTGACGTAGGATCCAGAAAGCTGGTCATCCGACATGATTGAAAGGATGGTTCATATGTCACGTAGCCGCCCTTCTGGGTGATGTCATATTCGCCCCCATCAGAAATAATATGCAAAAGCCGTCCCAACGAGAGCCTCGGTATCTGCCCCGCTTTCCCTGAAGGAAATCCTACAAAAGTAAGATCTCGCTGTCGCAACAAGTTCCAAAGCGAGCTCCATATAAAACTCGAACTCGCTCAAATCTTGCCGATATTTGGGTGCACTGAGATGGGTCATACTTCGTCTACCCTGAAATATGAAGCAATTAAGCAAGGGCATATATGGCTGTGGCTCAAAAAACCGGGACCAAAATGGAACCTGGTAAGTGGAAAGCATGGACCAACACCTGCGTAACCCCCTGTTTAATTTTGAGCCACACCCATACAAGACAACCGATTAGTCCACCAAGAAACTACGAGGTCCCAAGGTAACTCGTTTACAACCATGTTCACCTTCTCTTTCAACCGCGCCTCGGACACGGTCTGTACGGCAAAGCGGGCAGGCTGTGATAAGTTGGCGCTCACGTTCAGCAGGTCGTTCTTAGCGAATCGCGAATCGATCCATTCTCCGCGGAAAAAAGAAGAAGAGAAAGGAGCACTTAACCTCTAGCGTTCCAGAAATGGATCATTTCCAGCCGCAAAACCGACTGACAGCTTGTTGAAACGAATGCTCGCAGAAACCGGGCGCTCCACCAGAGCCGTTTCAACGGCTTGCCAGTCTAGTCGGGCGAACGGATTCTTTGGCAGACGTCACCTCCCGGCAAAAAAAACAAACAAAACAAGAACCCATGAAAACAGGAGTAACTGAATCAGGACAGAACCTGACTGAGTGGGTAGGTAACCAAGGAAACCGCATCTCAAAAAACAAAAAAGGAGAATGGCTGGGTACTTACTGTGAGGGTGATTCGGATCCTTCTGACCGGCTTTCCAAGTCCGATTCCGTTTCCCGGCCACCAAAGCCCGGCGAGCTTGCCAGCCTCCAAAGACTTCGATCCGGCCATTTCGCGATGGGCTCCATTTGGTGCTGGGATCCAGTGGGATGGCAAACCAAACCTGTCCCACATCTGCCAAACGTCGCAGCTTCCGTGGGTTGAAATGAGCGCCACTCACGTGAACAACACGGGGCCTCAGGAACCGGATGCTTCGGCCAATTCGGCCCAATTGCGCCAACTGGAGAAGGTACTGGAAACCAAGAACACCTCGAACTTTTTCTTTTTGGGGGGGGGACCAAAAAGAATTCAAGCAACCTCCGGTTCCTCCGGCGAAAAAGAAAGGGACACCATCCCTTAACGACATGGGCTCCGTATGGTGCGCCATTTTAGCTTGTCACCGTTTTCTTAAAATCACCGGTCCCTGCGGCATGAAAGGCGGCGAGAACGGTCTCCTGAACATGGCACGTGGAGGTTCCCCAAACGGAAATGTCTCTTCCCTTCAACTGGCTTCCCTTCGGTGGTTTTCTCCACCAAAACGCCTCGGTTTTCAGACACAACTCTAGGGGTAACTTCCCCATTCTTTCCAGGGATCCTTCTTTCTAGAAAACCACCAAGACCCCTGGAAAATGGCGGGTTTTTGAAAAGACCGGTTCCTTCCCCTGGTTCTCCCGCCACCGCCCAACTGGACCCAGCCGGCCCAGCCGCTTGGATGTCCCGGGCTGCCAAACGCAGCTCCTCCAGTCCTGAGCTCGGCTAGATCGCCTCGACCAACATGCCCCACCAACACACCTGGGTTTCCTGTTGGTTTCCCTTCAACACCCAGAAACCCCGCGCCTTGCCCGGGCCCAAGCCCCCGTATGTTGCCCCCGGCTTGCCAGGCGTCGGTAGCCGTAGGCGCCCCCGGTGAAGTGCCGCAGGTTGACCGCCACCAGCGGCGCCCCGTGGAGATTCGGCACCGCCCACAGCAGCGAGGCGTAGGAGCCCCCTAGGCCGAAGTCCTCCTGGCGGCTGGGCGATGGCGCGATCCATGGGCTGAGCGTGTGCTTCGGAGTGAAACAAAGACTTCTGTGTGGGTTTTGGGGTTTGCACATTAGGCCTCTGGCTTGACACCCAAAGGCCCTTGGGGATGCCACACTTCAGCCGGACTTACTTATACATATATACAAATATATATATATATACATATACATATACATATATATATATATACAAAATATATCCCCTGCAGCCCTTTCCCCCGGTTTCCGCCCAAAAATCGCCGCCCAACACCGCCGCTCCAGGTCCGCGAGGCTCGGGGCGCTGGGCTTCTCCGGCGGAGCCGAGCAGAGGCGGCTGACCGTCGCGGAGAGGTCCCCCACCTCGAGACGCACTCCGCGCTCGAAACGCGCGCTCGGCGCGTTTGCTGCGCGGCTTTGGCGGCGCCTGGGGGGGTGCCTGGGAGCTTTTACGGTTCAAGGCTACCCTGTTTGGATGCTTCGTAAATGGACATACACGAGAAAAACAAAAAAAACACTTTTGGGATGGGAACGTTAAAGAAGTGGAAATGCAAAAGGAACCGGAAAATAATTACACGGGAAACCACATTCTTTGAGGGCTTCCCCTGTTTTCAAACACACGCATATATGGCTTGGGAAAATGGTTGGGCGGGTGGGACACAAGGGTTGCGTGGGCGGGAAACATGGTTTCGCTTGGAGATGCTGCTTGGTTTTCTCAGGAAGCATCAACATTCTGTTGGCAGTGAGGAGGAGACTCTCTTGGCCGGGACAGTGGTGGCCAACCCACCCACCCCCATTTTCCCGCACATGTGAAATCAGGGGCTCTGTTCCATCTTGCCTCGCACTATTCAGCAGGAATACCACGCAGCCTGATTTAGGGCTGTCCTTGCCAACCTTCTCATCTGGAGGGTCTCAAAATAGCGGTACGACAAAATGAGTCATAATCAAAACCCGGTAGTAAAATGGTCGACCCAGAACCATGTAAATAATGAAGAAGGCGGCCGCAGCTATTTATGATTGGGATTGTCCCTTACTAACCGTCAGCTACCCGGGTTTTGAGCACGTGGCTCAAATGAGCTGTTGCCTTTGGTTTCCTTTCACCACCCAGGTCCTTTCGGGTGCCGCCTACGATTCACAGTTTCGTCTTACCGTCCAAGGGCTCCGTTGGTACTCCGTTGGTGAGCTCATTTCCTTTGGGGTGGGGTGGGTTGATTCATGAGCTCAGTCACAGGTCGTTCACCAAGGTCCGAGCCCGTGACTACACGTAAACCAAAGCAGGCAAAACAAAGGCTCAAACAAATCGGCCCATGATCCCTAAAGGGATGCCCTGAACCTCGCCCCGTTTGAGCGTTCCGCCCGCTGAGTCGCTTCCCCAAAGCTGGACACCGCTGCCACGGCGAAGAAGAGCCGGTGCTGACTGAAGGACTCGGCGAAGAGGTCCGTGCAGTTCACCTGGCTGTGGTCGTCAAAAATGGGTACCCAAAATGGGTTGCCCTGGTACATGGTCAAAAACGGGGTAACCCCAAAACGGGTTGCCCTGCAAAATGGAACCCATGACTAAAACAGGCGCTGCCCTGGTGGTTTAATTTTGACCCACACCCACCTGGGTCATGACCAAAAGATGATATTAACAGTGTTGTCGGTTTTGTCGTCATTGTGGTTGTGTGGTTGTGGTTGTGGTTGTGGTTGTGGTTGCTGTCGTCGTTGTGGTTGTGGTTGTGGTTGTGGTTGCTGTCGTCGTTGTGGTTGTGTGGTTGTGGTTGTGGTTGCTGTCGTCGTTGTGGTTGTGGTTATGTGTTGTGGCTGTGGCTGTTGCTGTTTCTGTTGCGGCTGGGGTTGTGGTTGTGGTTGTGGTCGTGGTCGCGGTTGCGGTCACGGCTGTGGGTGGCTGTGGCTGTGGCTACTGCTGTTGCTGTTGTTGTGGTTGTTGGTTGTTGGTTGTTGGTTTTGATTGTGGCTCACCTGAGGTCGGCTAAAACAGATCCCAGGCGGTTGCCACAGCAGGCAACCCTTCGATCCATTTTGCTTTCGGGAGGTTGGTTCCTTTGGATACGGGAACTAGAACCACTGAGATAACTGGGAAATTGCGTTGGTGCCTTTTTGTGGGGAAACCTCAAATGGTGTCTTTCCAGGTGCAGCCCGAGAAAGCAACAAAACACGCTGTACCAATGTGCCATCTCCTTTTTTTGGGATACCACTTTTACCTTTCGCAGGGGAATCCCAACGGAAAGGGTTTCTCCTATTTTGGCACACTCCCAAATGGAGCCCATGAGATTTGTTGGACTCGTCTGGATCTCTATCGGAAGGGGCCCTTGTCTCAAGATGTTGAGGGACCAAAGACGACGCCAAAACCGTCCCAAGAACATCAGGGGTGAGTTGGTAGATGGCACAATCTCCATTGGGCAAGTGAAGAGGATGACCAAGCCAAAATGAGTTGGAATTGTGCCACCTTGCTTGGCTTCAGCCAGAACTGTAGGGGATTGGCCGGCCACGCGGACCATGAACCACTCGGGAAGCTACATGGCCCGCGGCTTTGCAAACAGTCCACCACCACCAACAGCAACGACGACGGCAAAGACGACAACGGCAACGACAACAACGACAACCACAACCACAACCGCAACCTCAACCGCAGCCGCAGCCGCGACCGCAACAACAACAGCAACAGCAACAAGCACAAGCACAAGCACAACCACACAACTGCAACCGCAACCGCAACCGCGACCGCAGGCCAAGGGCAAAACACCGGCCAAATACTTGGCCTTGTCTTCCTCTGTGCTATATGTGGCTTTTGGTATTTAGATCCTTGTCTGGCCTTGGGTTTCTGCGACACCATGTTTGTCACCTGTGCCTTCTTTGGCCCCAAGTTGGAATCTCAAAGGCCGTGGTGTCCAATGGGCTCGCACACGAGGTCTGCGAACCCCGCCCCGAACATGGAAGAAACCAACAAGACCATGTGTTTTTGGTTGGAAAAAAGGGAAACCAACAGGACAACCCAAAAATGGGGGTTCCCCCTAAAAAAGACGCACGCAAAAGGATTGGACCAAAAGGACTTGGTTGGGATATTAAGGATTCCGTTGACCCGTTGACCTTACTATCATCCGTATTGACCCAGGGTAGCAGCACCTGCAAAAGTGGCACTTTTGGGGATTTGGCCGTATAAATCTGCACTTGGGTGGTCTCTTCTGGACTCCTAGACTTAAGACTTAAGTCGTGGGTTTCCAACAAGTCGGTCTGTTTTGCGTTGTTTTGTGCGGGGGGGGGGGGGGGTACCTGACTTTTTGTTGGGGGGAAAAAACGGAAACCAACAGGAGGGTAGGGGGTACCCGATTGTTTTTGGAAAAAAAGGACACCTCCTCAGGACAACCCGAAAATGGGCTTTGATGTTCTCTCGAGGTTTTTTGAGTTTTGGTTCTCCCCCAAACAACGCAGGGCTGGGGACATTGTTTTCTGAAGAAAAGACGCACGCAAACGGATTGGCCCCCGTGCCTCACTGCTGGGCACCTGCAGGGACAAAGTTGGCTGCTGTAGGTCGAAGTAGTTCTCCCCGTCCCGCCAGTCCACGTAGAGACGGAAACTCACGATGGAATCCTCACACTTTTTAGGGGTTTGGACCATTTTAGTGGTAAGTAAAAAGGTTCCTGGACTTTTTGTTGGCCCCCAAACCCCAAATTCCCCAAAGGAAAAGTGGGGTACATAGCGGGTTTGGAACGTTTCCGGGTGAATTATAATGTTTCACCAGCTTGAAACAAGGTGGTTGGGGGCTATTCCCCATAAACCGCCATTTTTGGTGAGGTCGTGTGAGGTCGCTATAACTCACCCAGACCATTTCAGTGGCAAGTAAAAAGCTCCTGGGCTTTTCATTGGCCAACTCGCCCCTCCCCCCAAAAAAAAAAATAAAAAAATCCTCAAAGGGAAAATTGGGTACATAGTTTCGTTGATAGTTTGGTCACGCATGTTCGTGACACCCCCTGCGATCGAGATTAACTGTTGTGCAAAGTTGCTCCTCTGTGAACACAGCAGTCGACTCCAAAGTAAAATCAATTCATCGATCGACTGCCAAACCCAACCCGGTTTCAATACACAGCGAGATGCATGATGGCTAAACTGCGTCCAGATCGTGTCTCAAGGCCATTTGCTACGCCAAACCGGCCAAGAGCAGAGCAGCACTGTGGGACGTTTGGACCAAGGGGCTTTGGTTTCTCACAAAGAGAAAAACACAGAAAAACGTTTGTTGATGCGCACCCCCCGGCCACAAACCCCAAACCACTGCACGCCCCCCGACAAGGGATTAGGAATGAACCAGTGGATTCCCTAGCCACAAACAATGCATGGGAGCATTCCCTCATTCCCTGAGAACCAAGGCCACCGTGACAGTCCGAGCATTCCCGGTACGCAAGCAAAGGGATAGCTAAACCAACTGGACAGTCACACGCACCACACACCTCGCGCATCCAATTGGCAATTGGAAGTTACCAACCACGTGCACGACGTCTCAAACAAGCGCAACCCCCGGCAAATGGGTGATGCCGCTTTGGTTTCCCTAAGGGGCACCGTTCAAAAAAGGTATCCACAGAGAAAGACACGCCCATGTCTGTGAGCTACGCAGTTATTTGCTACATGATTGAATGGTCGGGGCTTCCCACCTCGTTCTCCAACCCTCCGCATGGAGAACAACCAGCTATATACGTGGTCCTGCCTCGCTTTGGGGGTGTTCCTTCCCTGGTTCAAACCTACTTCAGTATGTTACTCGAAAAGTGTTTCCGCCCCCGGCCTTTGCTGTAGTCTTCTTCAAACAAAGGCAGTCACTGATACAATTGTTTTGTGTCCGCGCTCAAACTGCAAACCTCATAATTCCTGGACCCGCCCAAAACGGAACAGGAAAACCGGATCGCTCCCGCCCCACTCGAGAGCCTCGTCCGCACTGGGCTCCCAAGTCCATGAGAGCGCGATGATCTCGTCAGAGCTCCAATCCACACGGAGCACTGGCTGGGGTGGCCGGACGTTCGTCCTAGCTCACTCCCGGTAGACCAAGGAATAAAATGACCAGCTTTCCTTCGGTTTCTCTTTCCAACCTCAGAAAGGGGACCGCAAGAAGTGAACAGTTTTTTTTTGTTTGCCGAATAGTTCTTTAAAAAAAACAACTGTAACTGTTCTGATCGAAAAGGTTGACATGAAACTGCTGCGGGTGACCGCCCACAAAACAACATAACATAATTACACGCTACTGGACTAGACAAAAACAAACCCCAGCCACAAATCACCTAACTTGAAGAAACAAAGCTCTGGGTTGCACACATCTGCCTAAACAGCAACAACTATCTGCCTAAAAAACTTCTGACACCGTACTTCTCCTAGGTCCTCCAGTCGAGTTGGAATAAGTTGGTACCCACGTTTCGTCCCTTTTGTCTATTTTAATAGGGGCGCCCTCCCAATGAAAAAAGAAACAAGTTGGCACCAATTGCTGGGGGGCCTAGTCTCCGTTGCTCGGACCCGGTCCCCCGATCCCCGTCCTGAGTCACAAGCAAAACCCGGTAAAATGGTCGACCCAGAACCATGCTTCAAGAATTGAGCAGGCGGATCTCCGCAGCCTTTTTTCTGGCTTTTCGCCTGCCTTAACCGGATCATCCACCCTAAGGATCGGGGAACCTTTTTTTTCAGAGGGTTAAACAAAAGGATTGATTGAAAGACAAGTATGAAGGGTGCAAAAAAAGGGAGCCCCTAAGGATCTCCTGAGGAAGAGCTCCGGGGACCAGGGCCCCTCCCCGGACATGGCGTTCACCCCGTAGCGCAGCGCCCACACCGTGGCCGCGGGCAAGTTGCGGAAGGTGTAGCTGCGCACCCAGGGGTCGGAGATCAAGACCTCCAAATAAAAGCACTTCGAGCTGTGTTTGTTGTGTGTTGTTTTGTGTTGTTTTGTGTGTGTGTGTTTGCTTGTTTTTGTTTATTGGATGTTGTTTGTTTCCTTGATTTGTTTGTTTGATTGTGTGGCTATTTGATTGTGTGTTTTCGTTTGTGTTCGTGTTTGTTCGATTGTTTGTTTGTTTGTTTGTGTGTTTGTGTGTTTGTTGGTTTGATGGTTGTTGTTTGTTTCTTTGTTTGTTTGTTTGTTTGTTTGGTTGTTTGATTGTTTGATTGTTTTTATTGATTGTTTTCTTGTTTGCTTGTTTTCTTGTTTTGTTTTTTGTTTTTTTTTTGTTTTTTTGTCTTGTTTTGTTTTGTGTTGTTGTGTTGATTTGTTTTGTTTTGTGTTGTTGTTTTGTTTGCTTTGTGGTTTTTGTTTGTTTGTTTGTTTGTTTGTTTGTTTGTTTTGTTTTGTTTTGTTTTGTTTTGTTGTTTTGTTTTGTTTTGTGTTGTTGTTTTGTTTTGTTTTGCTTTGCTTTGTTTGATATGTTTTTGTTTGTTTGTTTGCTTGCTTGATTGTTTGTTTGAGTGATTGATTGATTGATTGATTGATTGATTGATTGATTGATTGATTGATTGATTGATTGATTGACTGATTCATTGATTGTGTGTTTTCTTGTTTGTTTGTTTGTTTTCTTGTTTGTTTGGTTGTTTTCTTGTTTGTTTGTTTGTTTGTTTGTTTGTTTGTTTGTTTGTTGTTTGTTTTCTTCGTTGGTTTGTTCTTGTTTGTTCGTTCTTCCCAGACTCTAAGATGTTTCCACTCCCCAGCGGATTAGTGGGAGAAAATCAGCAAGTCAAAAGAACACTGAACAGTAGTAACCTTTCTCCCCGGGTGGTGGTCGAGACAAACAAAGTTGACACTGGGTTCATTGAGCAAGTCTTCAGTTCAAAAATGGCTCAGGGATCCCTCAGCTTGCAGTCAACCTTTGATTTACTTAATTGTGGTTCATTGTTGTTGTGTTGTTTTGGCCTGTGTTTTCGCTGGTCTCTTTTTTGGGTACACCAATGGGATTGAGTACTGGTTTGGAAGGACTTGAGGTAGCTCCAAACTCAGTTGACTGAATTTGAACTGAACCTTTGACAGTTGTTGCTTTGTGCTTTGTCGCTTGTCTTTGTGTGGGGGGCGCAAAGAATGAATCTAATGTCCAAGTCGGAGACGCTACACTTCTTGTTTTTGCTTGCGGGGTTGTTTCTGGGATTGGGGGACTAGCGGGTTGAACAATCCTTTGGTCGTTGTTCTTTGTGTGGAAGCCACACACTGGGAGGGTGTTTTTTGGGGCGAAACTCTTGTCAAGGAAACCAATTCAGCAATAATCATCTGAATTTAGCCTTGGCGTGAAAACAGCGCATGACCAATCCGTTTCCCTGGCTGATGCTGCGAGTTCTATGGGGAGCCCCTTTTGGTTGGCTTCAATTTTGGGAGTGTGTCAAACGTTTCTCGGTTCGCTTGTTCAACAACAACTACCCTTTTCAGGATGGTTTTAAGGGGAAACTAAAGGGAAAACCATGCTTTTAAAGGTCCCCTAAAAAAGGCACGCCCAGCTTGTGCCTATGGTGGGAACCGCCTGTGTTGACCGTGTTTCCTTTTTTGGCAACAGCATAATTTTAACTATCGCGATAAAACCTCGCCAACCATTTGGAAGGTATTGTACAGATTGGCTCCCACATGATGGAATCCCCAAACAACTGAAACCCCGAAAAAGCTCCAAGAATCCATTTGTGAAGTCCTCCCCAAAGAAGAGTAGTGATAGCTTCCCTTCAAGACCAACAGTAACAGGGGACCACAACATATTCTCAAGCAAATGGGTATGTGTCAGGGAAACCTTGCAAAAACAGGCTTCGGTCTTCCTTTGAGTTTCCCTCGAAAGCAACGCCCCCAACAAAAACGATCCCCTCCAACCAAAGCAAAAACCACTCCCTAGAACAAATATTAGTGATAGCTTCCCTTGCAAACCAAAAAGGGAAAGTTGAAATCTTCAAATTTCAGATGGACGCACACCAAGCAAACGAAGCATTTCAACCCAGCCAAGCTCCGCTTTCCCCGCTTTCCCCGCGCGCCGCTCTCCGAACCGACCGCCTCGCGGGAGATGTTCGCCGCGTCGGCGGCCGTGGATGCCACCGGCTCTAAGGCCGCGCGCCAGCCGCGGTGCAACGCCACCACGGAGGAGGCCTGGCCCTCCAAAGTCAGCGCCACCTCCACCTGGCGGACCCAAAAAACACACAACAAAAGAATAAAAACAACGGGAACAGGACCGGAGCCAGACAGATGGGAGAACCACAAAAGGGAAGGCGAAGAAAAACAGAAAACAAAAAAAACAGAACGAAAAACGGGACCGGAAAGCCAAATGGGAGAACCGAACAACATGGAAAACACCTCTCTGACTTTAAAGGGGCGTCCGGCTCCAAAAAGGCAGATTGGGAGAACCAAGAAATAAAACACTTTCTTTGAATCTCTTTAAATGGGGCTTACGACTCCAAATTGGAAACAACAACACCTCAGTGAACTTGGAACAACCAACACTTTTTGGTGTATGCCAACAAAAACTGGCCTTGGACCCCAAAACATGGATTCGTCGGCTTTCCTATTGGTTTCCCTTGCAACCTATCTAAAAGAAAAAAAAGGTGCCTGTCAAAAGAACACATGAATACCCTCAACCATTTGGAGGGCTGGATAGATCTGACAAAGCCTAGGGGAAAACTGGACACTCGATACTCAAAGGGCTAGGAATCCGATTTGGCCTGGTTCAGGAGGGAACGACCCAACCCCCCAGGTTCATCAAACCCACGACTGGGTTGTAGCTCTCCAGTTTCTTAGCCCACTGCCAGGGTCTGAAATATGAAATTACATTGGAGGAGACCCTAGCTTTGCCTCTTCCAAAGGTTGAAGGGATCCCTTTGTGGTTCTTCAAAACGGCTTTTGACCGTTTTTTCGAAGCCAAATTTCCGGGAGATCTCTGAAGAATGGTTGGTTGGGAGGAACTGGACCCCAGTGATGGATTATCTTGGTCCATCTTGGTTAGAAAAGTAGATACTGGGGAGACAAGTGGGAGGCTTTGGGGAGGGGAGGCTTGAGGCCCAAGAAAGGCGAAGCCTTGTGGGACGATCTGGAAAAATCATCTCTCGGAATTCGCGACCTGCAACCTGATTAATCCTCATTCAACCGTTTGTTCAGTTGCTTTTGCTGGTGTTATTTCTGAAATAGTAGGTGTTGACTCCGAGATCCATGATTTATTCACGTCGTAGTTTCACCATGATGTCTCAGGGTGGATACTGCACATCAAGTTCTTCCCTGAAAATCTTTGCTTGAGGAGCTGCGGTCTGGTTGTGGAATTCAAAGGCTCTCAAACTTGAGGCAACAGAGCAGGGACCAGACTTGTATCGTTTGTGCCAGCCTCTGGGCCCCTGCCGCTGCCTGTGTCTGCTCAATGGCAGACAACTATTGCTGCTGCTGCTGCTGCTGCTGCTACAACTATACCTACTATACTTCTACTTTTACTTCTACTTCTACTTCTTCTTCTAATGATTCTAATGTCAACATGGGATTCATGCGGAGGAATGACTCTATCCCCCACCCTGCAGATTACTGAAGCTGACGGTGCAAGCAGCATGGACAATCAAACGAACACACGAAACAAACAACACCTGCAAAACCCAGCAAAGAAACAGCTACCCAAGCCAGCCAGCAATCAAGCAATGAAGCAAGCAGACAAACCACAAGATTCAAGCCACTTTTGGTTCCGGCCCTCTCCAGTCAACCCCCCCAACCCCACCCCATGCCTCGTAGTCGCTGAGCACGTCCAGCGCCCCCGTCCCCACTCGCCGCACTTTGGCCACCGCCTGCGGCGGCGCCGCCGGCCGCGGCGCGCAGAGCAGCGCCGCGGCGTCGGACCACGCGGCGCCGGGGGCGCCGCTGGCGCCGGTGAAGCGCGCAGAAACCTGGCGCCGCGACGTGTTGAAATCATTCCCGAGTAGTCCATCACATATCCAGAAGGAATACGAGTCACTGGCGCCTATGGATATGTGATATGTATATAACTTGATGTGCTGGATAAGGGAACATTGAGTCCATCATATCCAGAAGATGTGTATATATTTGATATCCTACTTGGATTGGTAGGTATACACATGTACTTGAGTACAAGGCGTTCGCGTTGACATTCTTGCGCGGTGGATGCCCGAGATGAGGCAAGGGAACAAGTGTTGACCCCGTATGAATTGTTCAACCCCGATTTATTCATAGGGCGTCCATTCTGGGTGAAATGTGGGGAAGCAAACCACTTCTGGAGGGGAACATATTCCTATTCGTAAACTGCGGTTGATTCATATGGGGTAAACATTCATCCTCTAAAGTACCGAATTGTGGGGTAGAGTATGGCGGGTTTACTTGCAATACTTGGGTCATCCTCCGTAGGTAGTAGGTGGATAGTTGTGGAATCACAGAATCACAGAATCGCTTGGGTTCAAATCGATGTGGGGCAGGCTAACCATGGTTCTAAGTGGTTAACAGGAAACAACTACATTCCCTTGTGGATTGGTAAAATACATAAGATGAAACCTGAAGCGGAATCTACTTTTAACAGGAAACCAATCCAAGTTCTACAGGAAGTTCGCCAAGTTCCCAAGTAATGACTCCCATGCAAATTGACATGGACCATCGAAACGGTTCCAAGACCGCGAATTAGTTAAACTTCTCGATCCAGTTCCCACTTTCCGCCATCAGGATTCGTCGATAGAACCCTCAAAATTGGATCTTGATTTGGCTGTGGGTCAAAACCCTGTACCCCTGGTGAACATCGAAATAGGTGGCAAATGGATGTTCATCCACCCCAAAATGGAGCCATAGCTTATGGCCACTTCTTTTCGGCTTCCCTTTAAACCGGCAAACCATCACTTGGTTGACGTTGGAAGGGGAACAAACATCTAAACTTAGCAGTTCAGTGGGGATTTCCCACTAAACCACAACAAGCAAAGATGTAAAATGCTTCCCAACAACAACCATGATCAGTCGCGCCTTGGCAAAGAGGGCAGGGTAAGCGCCCGTCTCGTTGCAGGGCACTTTCAGCTGCGGTGGTTGGTTGATCGCCACCGAGCCGAAGCTCCAGTAGGGGCCCTCCAGCGACTCGGCGCCGAAGACCTCGTAGGCTTCCTCAGACGAAGCCGCGCTTGCCCTATCTTCCATTTGCTTAAGGGTCCTGGGAAAAAATAAGGAATATGTCCAGTAGTGATGAATTCCTAAGACCAACAAGGGAAAATAAACAACTATTCATTTCAGCAAATGGAGGTTATAAATGGATCCATGTTGGATCCCCGTACCTACGGGTTGATCAAGCCGTAAACTGGGGGCCCCCACACCCATGGCCATGTTGGTCACCCGGGAATTCAAGCGAATGGAGTTGAAGATTGGGGTGAAAGCATGGTGAAAGCGGACATTCACCCCTATCCAACTTGTTTTCAGGGCAGAAATCCATGTTCCCGAGTGTTAGCAAATGTTAGTAGCTTATGATGAGTTTTGAGCGGGATAACCTAGCGGGTTGAACCAAGTGTAAGCGAACAACTGATGTGAAGGGTGTTGCTTCTGGTTCATTCTATCGGATGGCTGCACCCGGAATTGTGTTAAGACTCTCGGACTTCCAAGTTTTTGGTTGGGCGGCCCGAAATCGGACGTCAGGGCTATTCGATCTTCCGAAGCACGACTAAGACTCGCACCAAGACATCTAAGACTCGATCCATAGGGCAGATTGCAGAGCAGGGAACCAGGCGAAGGACACCCATGTGACTGGGCGGTTCTTGGGAGCAAATCTAGGTCCTCCAGTAGAGGGGTTCGAGTAAGTTGCTACCCTTTTTTCCCTAGTCTATTTTAGCAGGGGCACCCTCCCAACCAAAAAAGGGGAGAGAAAAAGGGCACTGGGAGACCTAGCCTTTTGCAGGCATTGGCCAGATCCCTTTAGGCCAATTTGGTCAGAAAAGACCAGCCAATGGAAGCCGGAATGGTGAAAGCTGAAGGAGAACCATGTTACAAGCACTTCGGCAACCAGCAGAAACCAGTTGCCTACCATATGGCGAAACAGCAAGAATGCCCTCAAAGGGTGGATCTCATCCTTCCCATGGCACCACTACTGTTAGACCATGCTTGAAAGATTGGCTGTTGGCAAAGGGGCATGCTGCGAATATGGTGGAGCCAAACACATCCGCTGGACATCAGGGCCTGGAGTTGATCCATAGGACGCTCTATTGGGACACATCATTTGTGTAAGGCGGTTTCCGAACCAATGGGCATCCCGTGTTTACCGGACCTTTTGAAGCCACTCATACTGAGGTCTCAAACTTGCGGGTTCCCAGGGAAGCAGAAATGGCGTGACTCCGAAATAAGCCGTGCCCTATGGCTTCCTGAGTTCTCAGACCAGGGAATGACCCCTGGGAAACCGTCCCGTAGAGTTTCCAATGAGAGAAAATCCCCCACGGTTCTCTTTATTCCCACCCGGGGCCTCAGAGGGCAAACTTCCATTCAGCCCGGAAAAATGGGGACATATGTCCAGTGATAGGTTCAAATAGGTTCCCTTGGACACCAACAAGGGAACATGCTTTTCTTTTTTGTGAGCAAATGGAAGCGCCCAGCTTTAAAAAAGAGAAGGGCTCTGCCGCTTTCAGAGCTGAGCCTCCACCAAGAATTGGGAAGCTCCGGAGGCGTGCGGCAGCAAATCCTCGTGCTCCGTCCAGGCCAGCGTCAACATGCCGTCCTGCAGACTTTCCAGTCGGAAGCCCCGTCCCAGAAGGGCGTCCCTTTCAAAAATCACATTCAAAAGGGTCTCCTCAAACAAAAAAACCAATTGTTTCCTGCTCATTTGCTTGCCCCTCAAGCAACATGCTCATTGTGCCAAATGGGGCTTCTCAAAATGATGGACCCCTGTGTGCGTGGTTTGAAAGGGAAGCCATGAGGAAAAACACGTTTCTAGGGGTCACCTAGTTTGAGAAACGCCGAAATTGATTGAATCGGCATGTCTCCGACGAGAAACTAACTAAACGGACATTGTTAGTCAAGCCCCTACCCCTGGATGTTAAAAGTCGTGGGGTTCCACACTCCCTATCCGAAAGTTCTGCGGGAGCTGCGGGAGGAACAGCTCCAAAACATCTCGGCATGGCTCGGACAGCTTGAGATCAGACTTCACTGGGCTGTCCGTTCTCTGACCTGCTAAGAGTTCAACTTTTTGGTTCAACCAAAACCCCCACCAAACCCTAAAACGCAAAAAAAAAAAAGCAAAAAAGCTAATGGGATGGCTGGGTGAGACTTCAACTCCTCACAAACAGAGCTAACTCTCACCAGAATCCCTTGGCAGTTCGGGAAGCCACCGAGAACCCTACCGGGAAGCCTGCAATCACATGGGCCTTCCTTGTCCTTGAGGGACATCTGTGGACGGAGGGCTCCCGGGTTCACACACCACATGCCATCCGTCCATCCCCACATCCCCCTCCCCACAACTCCGTGAATTCTCCGCCAACCTCAGAAAGCTATCCAAAGCCCCAACCCCTCCTTATCTCCCTCCAGATCTGCACAGCCTTCACGCTTCCTCCTCCCCTTACCCTCCTATACCCTCCACCCCATCTCCCTCCTGATAGCTCAACTTAAATAGGTAAAACCGCGGTTTGGATGCTGGTTCGGGAAGGCACGACCAACTGGCCAAACAGCCCATTCGCTTCGACCCCGTCTCCTGACATATCCCCTCAAGCAAACCACCCTTTAGCCTTCCCTCCCTTCCCCCCCTTGCCCCCTCCCCCCATCTCCCTCACACCCCACATGGGTGTTTTGTTTTTGAGGGTGCCCCCCTGTGTTTGTGCTTTACAGGACAACCAGCAGGAAAGTCCCGGTGGTTCTTGTTTTTTTTGTTTGGGGGAGGTACACGCAAAAACAAAAAAAACACCATCAAATGGTTTCCACTACCCCCAAACCACTACTTGCAGGTTTGGAAAACGCGATTTATACAATTCTACCATTTCTTCGTGGCCTTGTGGTGGTGTTCTTCCGAGAACAAAAACATCTGGCTGGGGGGGGGGGGCGTGAACAGGGATACTGGACAACCCCCCCCCCCCCCCACCCCAAACCGCCCTCATATCCCCTATAAAAAAGATCGATCCAGCTGCAATTGGCCACCCACGCCAGAGTTTCCCCCCCCCTTTCCCCCCCCCTCCTTCCTCCCCCCCCATTCTCCCCCCCCCCTCCCTTTCCCTTCTCTCCCCCCCCCTCGATCTCCTGGTAACTCACCGAGTACGGCGCTTTGGGCGCCTCCGGTGGATCCTTCGGCAGCGCCCTCACCCCGTTGGACCAAGCGCCGCAGCCGGCGCTGGCGCAGCTCCGCGCGCGGAAGCCGTAATCCCGGAAGCCCAGGCCCGCCACCTGCGGACGCGGCGGTTGCCGGTTGCATCAAGAAGGAGCCACTGGAGCCTGAAACTGCCCGAGAAAATTGGTTGCCTTAAAGAAAATGGGTTCACCTAAAATCCAGGTGTTGTTTGGTTTTTTTTGCTTTTCGGAGGGTGATTGGAGGGTCCGCTCACTGTTTTTTCCCTGTATGCGCAGAGTTCCTGTGGCACCGGCTGTGACCACTGGAGCAACAAAATCACACCACAGCCTCCCTTGGTCCAACATCCGCGCAGCCGCCGATCGATGGATCCTCCGAGGCGAAAGCTGCTTCTAAGGCCCGGCTGGTGCTGGCAAATCCTTTCCTCTGCATGCCATCCGCCATGCAGACTTCAAGGAAGTCATGCTTGAACAAGCATGCCTGGTGAATGGTCTTCAGGCGCTTCTGCACTGACCAGGTGCATCCGGTGGTCCAAGCATCGCGCGAGGGCCGCTGGGTGTTTGCACAACGACCCTCCTTGGGCAGAGAGTACCAAAAGCCCAGCGGGTTCTCGGCAGCACACCTGCTCTCACCATCCCCCACGGAGGATGGGGTTTTCCGGCCCACCAAACGCGGGTCCCCACCCACACAGGACGGGGGGTAGCCATTGCACAAGGCATACTGTCCATATGCAGTGGAAATTTCAAGGACATACCGCGAGATCAGGCTGTAGTTATGATCCATCCAGGACTTGTTTTGGAGCCGGTCGACGCAAATGAAGAGTGCGTCCCCCGTCAGGTCCCCCACATCTTGGTCCTCGATGCTGTAGCTGTTCGCCGGATGGAAAATGTAAGCATCCAACTGAACCGGATCTTGTCCACGGCCCTCCTCACACGGAGGCGCGAGCATGTCGCAAATCTCAGGCTTTTGAAAATCCTTCTCAGAAATCTGGCTCTTCAGATTGCGAAACTGATAGGAAACATTGAAGCTGCCACCGTCTTTGGGAAATGTGATGTTCAACTCCACTGGAAGGTTGCCATCTGCACAAAGGCTGATTTTGGACTGATTCTTGGAGCGCAGGTTCCACAAAGAGCAAGTTCTCCCGGCCGATTGCCGCTGTCCGAGGTACTCGGAGAGCTCTGGGTTGGCGGCCCAAGAGAAGAAATCCGAGTACCTGTCCTGGCCAAACAGATGGATCTTGCGGCAAACCGGACGCTTCCCGCCAAGAATATGGTAGGAGCTGTCTTCCAGAAGTAGAGTCGTAATGTTGGTGAGCAACTGCTCCATCCCCGGGAAGTGTCGAATCGTCCGCACGCTCATGGCCTTTGCCTCGCGATCTTGCGCGAAGACTCCCTCCCCAAGGGCCGGTGGGAAGCCGATAGGCAGATAGGCCCAGCCCGGGTCGTAAGACACAAAGCGCATGTCTGCGGCAAAGCGACCAGGCACCTGGCAGGCCAAAAATAGATACCCAACATAAAACCATGGTAAATGGAACCAAGGACAAAAGTTTGCGGTTTTCTGGTGGTTTCATTTTGACCCACAGCCACCTGGGGTCTCCGAGGAAGGTCGGAGCCTGGGACCATGGATGCGGCATCCTTCACCTGGCCACGTCGCCCTACGAGTGTCTGCCAGAGATGAAGGAAGCCGCCCAAGCAGACTCCAAGCCAGAGCCGGAAGTGCATGGCAGCCCAAAGTCGCCAAAGGAAAAGCGCGTGGAAAACAGAGGCTGTCTCGAGCCGGCACCACTTTGAACAGAGGGATTGGACGGGCCGGGAAGTAGCCATCAAAATTCGTGGGAACACAACCTTGGACGCGGAAAAACTGTGAAAACAAACAAACAAACAAACAAACAAGCAAGCAAGCAAGCAAGCAAGCAAACCCTTCGTATGTGCCACAATAGGGACTTGGCCCCACTTCAAATGGTGACTTCCTCAACCAATCCCACTTTAGGGTGTCTGAGCCTCAAAAGAAGCCCAGCCCGCGCTTGAAACCGGCCCACACGCCTCCATGGTGTCCAACCCGGTCTGGAGGATGGTGGTGTTGCCTTCGGCCACATCCGAGACCTCCACCTCGAACCACCAGTTGCATCCGGAAACCTAAGACGGGCACAGGCTGGAGGGTAGAGGAGTGGGGTGGGGGGGCGGAGGGGTCGGTGGGTGGGAAGGTGGGTGGGTGGGTGGGTGGGGTGGGGTGGGGTGGGGTGGGGTGGGGTGGGGTGGGGTGGGGTGGGGTGGGGTGGGGTGGGGTGGGGTGGGGTGGGGTGGGGTGGGTGGGTGGGTGAGTGGGTGGGTGGGTGGGTGGGTGGTTGGTTGGGTGGGTGAAGGTTGTGGGTGTCAAAGTTGGGACCCAAAACAAATGCGCAATCTTCCAGCTGGACCCTCGGAAAACACACTTAGTTAGACACACATCTTGACCACTTGGGACCCCTCTGTTCATGGCCTCCTTGTAGGGTATTGACGTAGGTTACTCTTGACGTCCATGGCACTGAGATGGGGGTGGGTGGGTAGGTTGGCCTCTGTTTCAGCTGACTTACCACTTAAATCACTGGGTTGTCATAAACCAGCTTTGCAGGCAAAAACCGACAGACTTCCAAGAAAAAAATGAAACACAGCCGGAATGCTGCTCCGAGATTCCCCCTTGAGTTTTGGATTCGTTGGGTTTTTTGAGGAAGGACCAAGCCATTCCCCCGTACTAATCCAAGCAACTTCTCCGGCCAAGAATGGACATTCAAGGTCAAAAGCTCAAACCAAGTGAGCTGAGGATGATTTGACCTTCAGCCCTTCGAGTTGACGGACCGGTTGCCCAAGGAACCAAGCAACGAGTAAAGAGAACAAACAAAACAAACATAGGGGCCAGTGTATAGAGAATAGGGAAATAAGAAGCCCACGTCGTCAATTGTTCAAAGGGAAACAACCTATTCGTCCTAGCCCTAGAGTCCCAAGACCTCATGTGAAGTATTTAGGGTCAAAGGCCCCACGCCTTTGGGCTCTTAGGGTAAAGTCGCTCTCCGATTCTCTTCACCCGTCCTTTGCGCAACCACCGTCCCAATTCCGGGAATTTCTTGCAACTTCAGAAAATAGACATGGGCCCCTGGAAAGAATGGGGAAGCTGTGCTAAGCCCAGGCCTTGCGAAGCCGAACAGCCAATAGCAAGAAGCAAACCCAAGAACCTGTCAAAAGGACAAATCGACGGACTAGCAACACTTGCCCAAAGGGCCTCTAAACCTTTTTGAAATCTGACAAAGAATAGACACACACATGCACAAACACTCCAGGTATGCAAAATATAAGCCCACATTTATCCTCATGGGTCAAATGTTGGTATATGTATATATATATATATATAATATGACGGCTGTCTGAAATTCCTTGTTCCGGAAACCGCCACCTTGGCGAGAAATAAATTAACTTTCGCGGGCCCCATCGCGGAACTTTCGCGGGGCTGCAGAACATTCATCACAAAAGTAGTAGACGAAGTACACTTTCGCAGCCCGACCCTCTGCGAGTCGCAGCTTTTCAATACGAAAGTAGTACAACAAGTAAACTTCCGCAGCCCGGCTTGAATGTCGCAACTTTTCAATACGAAAGTAGTACACGAACTAAACTTCGTAAACTTCCGCAGCCCCAGCTCGAAAGTCGCGACCATTCACTTCCAAAGTAGCACGCGAAGCGCGCTTCCGCAGCTCCAGCTCACAAGCCGTCAGCTTCACACGAGAGGATCCGCTGGCCTCATGTCCGGAAACTGGCGGGCCGGCCACAGGCGGGGAGGTCCGCCGACTTTCGCACTCAGCTTGACCCGAAAGCTTCAAAACTCCTACAAGCTGGTGTCTGCTGGCTGGGGGTTGCTTTTGCAGCGGGGTATTCTGCGGCGACACTCAGGCTCCGCATTCCCCGACCAACTTTAGTCTGCAGGCATTCTGCGTGTGCACTGCCGGTAAATACACATGATTCATCACTCCAGCTTCCTGTTAGCAAGCCACCCTTACACAAAACTTTCGCGAATAAAAAATAACTTTCGCGACCCCCCTTCGCGGAACTTTCGCGGAGGTCAACACTAAGACCAAAAGGTCTTCCCTTTCATAGCTCAATACAAGGACCTTTTGGACGACTCTCATATATATATATATATATTAGATAGATATATATATATATATACATATATTGCCACATGAGCGGTGGCCAAAACTCCGTATATGGCCTATGGTCATGGTTCCCTTGATAGGATACTTACGACCAGGTGGACCATCCGCGTCAGCCGGCCCCAAGCAAAGGAACCGGTCAAATGACCAAGTAAAGGAACTGGTCGGCCAGGCAAAAACCGAAACAGGTGAGCTGAAGGAACCCGATGTCTTGGGGCTGTATGGTTGTATGCTTGTATGTATGGTGACCTGGTGTGTTGCTTTTTTTGCTTCGGTATGTCTAAGGGTATGAGCTGAAGCCTTATGGCTAGGGCTTTTGGCGCCACCTGACATCCTTGCGACATGTGTGGAACACCACCGTAAGCTCGGCTCGCTTGGGTTGAGCTCTTGCCGGGACACCGTGGGGAGAAGTGTCCAGGACAGCTTCACGAGGCCGGCGCGGGCAGACTCCAGCCTCCAGGGCTTTGGAATTCATGGCCAACCTACCCGCATTTCAGGTGGTTCCAACCCTGCCAACAAAACACCTAAACCCTTCTACCTTGGATGGATTTAGCTAACTCTGCGGAAACAAACCCTCACACCTTTCTACCTTGGATGGAGAAAAGCTGAATCTGCTTTGCTTCATCCACCCTACAAGTTCAACTTTTAGTGGAGACTACCACTAAACCAAAACCCTCATAAAAACCCAAGGAACCGGCACCGGGCCCTGCCTCAACTCAGGCGCTGCGGCCAGGCCCGTCGGCAGCACCGCCAAGATCTCGCTGAAGGGCCCGCTGCTTCCGCCGGCGCCGGAAACCACCGCGCGGACGCGGAACTGCAAACAGCTCTGGGTCAAAGCGCCAAGGGCCACCTGACGCGCCGAAACAGAAGAAAAATGGTCCAGTGATAGACTCCCTTTAAAGTCAACTGGTGAATGTTGTGTTTAATCAAAACTCATAAGTGGGGTGTAATATTACCAACAGGGGTCATTGCATTTCCCCGTGACCGGCGGTTTCCATTGACACGATCGCCACTTTTGGAGGTAACAAAAAAGGAAGTGGAGCAAACCCTGCGTTCAGCTTCCCTCGTTGCGGTTTGGAGACTGGTGGTTGAGAGGCGTGGAGCGGTTTCCCAATGGCCCTCTACATGTAAGAGCCAGGGGTGCAATCCATATCCAAACCAGTCCAAACCACAAACTAAGGGTTACCTGACATGTGACTATTGCCCCTGGGCAAAACACCAAGGTAACTTGTTGTTGGTTGCAGAAATACATGTTTCCCACAAATTCCCACTTACAATTTACAATCATGCGTAACCAGTACCCCTGCAATATGGTCTAATTTGGTATGACGGGACATAGACTACCGAGGAAGTTCTAAGGTAAACGGACTTCTTTTAGGTGTGTCTGTGTAGGTGTGTGTGTGTGTGTGTGCGTGTGCATGTTGATGTGTCTTTTCGAGGCCCAGTATCCTTTTGGGTGCGCTTTGAAGTGAAACCAACAGGAGCCGTTTTGTTCGGGGGGCACGATGAGGGCAAGCAATGTAAGGTGGTTCACGTATCCAACTCGGCTGTGTCATTCTTTTGAGAGTACCCTGTTGGGGTTGGCGTTAAAGAGAAGCCAAGAGGAAATCACCAGCTTGGCGTTTTGGAGGGTTCCTGTCGGGGCAAACCCAATTATGAGCAGACCCAGAACGCCGTGTTTTGGAGAAGGGGGCGCTTTGGACACCCAGCGAGTTTTGAGACACAACTTGCTGGTTCTCAGTGAAAATTTTGTGAAACCATCCCTTCTGTTTTCTTGATGGAGATCGTGAGGTTTTGTCCAACCACCCTCCAGACTGTTTGAGCATACCCCAAGCCTCCCATTTTCCTTCAGAAGATTCTCAGGCGTGGAGGGTTGTTGGAGAAAAGACATGCGATGAGCCAACGGAAATCCCCTTGAAGGCAACCTGACTTTTGTTGGGCCCCCGGACATTTCCTAGCTCCCCGCCAAAGGATTGAAAGGATTGACGCGCAAAAACTCGGAAGTGGTTGATTCTTTTAAAGTGAAACCACACCAAACAACAAGGAGGACACTGATAGAAGCCATCCCGCATCCGCTCGGTTGACTAGTACCAAAAGAAAAACATTGATTTTGCCGCCCTTCTGTTGCTAGCTTTTGCTCTTTCGACTCTAAGAGAAACCGCGCCGAAAAAGGACACCGCGCCAGAAAAAGGGCAGCCGCTCCAAAAAAGGCTTGTTTTTGGTCTAAGGGAAACCGTGCCCAAAAAGGGAAACCGCTCCAAAAAAGGTTGCTATTGGTCTAAGGGAAACCGCGCCCAAAAAGGGAAGGTCTCTTCTTTGGTCTATATAAGGGAAACCGCGCCCAAAGGGGGAAACCGCTCCAAAAAAGGAAGCCGCTCCAAACAAGGGGGAAAAAAGGTTTGTTTCTGGTCTAAGGAAAACCGCGCCCAAAAGGAAACCGCTCCAAAAAGGTTTGTTTTGGGTCATTGGTCTAAGGGAAACCGCGCCCAAAGAGTTGTTAGGCGAAAGCTGCGCCACACGTGTTTCCCCTGGCTTATCTGCAGTTTGTCATCTCTGGCTCACGCTTGGCAGTGAACAGGAGAGTTGGGACAGCATTGCGTTCATGCATAAATGGTCCAAAACCCAAAGTGTTTTTGCATAGTTGCAGTTCAGTTGCTCGAAAATCTGAACCAACAAGCTGCAGCCAACGATCACGGCTGACATCCTGCTCAATGGGAACCCGATGCCTCCAAACAAGCTATGCATGTAGCGAAACACATTAGAGTGAAGCTGGGTTGTGATATAGTCTTGCAATGATTGCCACCCTTTGTCCATACATTGAGGCCCCCACTACGAAGCAAGCGGGTCGTTTGCGTGCTCTCTGACAGAGGCTCTTCTAGCAAACTCATGTTTGCTGGGATGGACATTGGTGGCTCTCCAGACGCCTTTTGCCAGCATCTGCAACCAGCATTGGCTCATTGGCCATGCATCAACCTGCGTGCACTGGCGTGTGTGTTCGTGTGCATGCAAACCTTTCATAACGACGGGAACATCCTCCCCCCCCACCCCACTCCCCCACCCACCCCCCCCTCCCCCGCTTACAACTGCAACTCGACACATCACAGCACAAAAAACAGCAAACAGCAAGTAAAGCACCAATCAGCCTGTTTCCTCCACAAAAGGTTTGTTTTTGGTCATTGGTCTAAGGGAAACCACGCCCAAAAAGGGAAACCGCTCCAAAACAGGTTTGTTTTTGGTCTAAGGGAAACCACGCCCAAAAAGGGAAACCGCTCCAAAACAGGGAAACCACTCCAAATAAAGTGTGTCTTTACCATCCAAAAACGAATTATGCCGCTCTTATGTTGCTAGCTTCCTTTTTTGTGTAAGGGAAACGGCTCCAAACAAGTTGTTTTTCCCCAACTCTGAGGGCAACCGCGCCAAACAATTGGCAAACCGCTCCAAAACAGGTCTCTTTTTGGTCACAGTGAAACCGCTCCGAGAAAAAGGACGACAGGAGGCAGCCCACTGCCCATCCGGCCTCCGCCCAAGGCTCGGCGCCGCTGTAGACCAGCTCCGAGGGCAAAGTGCCCAGCCCCGCGTCCCAGTAGAGCCTCGGCCACCGAAAACGGCTCCAAAGTTGGGTTTGCCGAGTTTCTAGGGTTGATCTGATCTTTGATTTGTGTGTTTGTTCTTCTCTGTTTTTCTCGTTTTTCTTAGTTTTTGTTGGTTGATCTGATCTGTGGCGTCTGTGTTGCTTCGTCTCTGTTTTGTCGGTCTTGGGTTGTTTTTGTGCTTTGCTTTTGTGCTGCTTTGTTTCTGCTTTGTTGACTTTGCGGCTGTTTTGTGGTGGTACTCTTGGCTCCCGTTTCTTGTGCTTCCTTTCAACTTCATGGGGGCAAAAAAGGATGACACACCCTCTAACCCCAAACTGAATCCTAGGGAAGCCTCTCATTTGCTTTTTCGCACTTCAGGAAAAACCGCCCAAGAAGCCGTAAAGACCTCCAAATCCACCAATGGCCAGAGGCGCTCATAGGCTACGGCGCCGGCCGGTGCGGAGCGCCCGAACTGGGCCGACAGCTCCTGGCGAAAGGCTTTTCGAGCCAAACATGGGCCTGGGACAACCGGCAATCGGGGCCTCAACTCCTGGGTCCTGCAGAGAGGTGGGAACAAGACCAACGTTTTTATCTTTTTATTTTATTTTATCTCTTTTGTCTATTTTAGTAGCACCCTCCCCCAAAAAGAAACGCTACTAAAAGGGCACTGGGGGACCTAGACTCACTTTGGATTTCTAGTGGGATTGGCCAAACAGAATACGTCACTTCCTGAGTGGATGGGCATAAAAACCAGTCTGAACTTCTGTATTTACCGCTATGAGCACTGATTGGTCAAACAAACATGCCACTTTCTGAGTGGATTGGCAAAAACTGGTCGGAACTGTTGAGTCATTTAAATTACTAAGTTGGTATTCTCCCAATAGTGACGCAAGTCTCAGGAACTTGAGGAGTGAGAGGCCACAAAATTCCGAGTCGGGACACTGATGGAAAAAGAGGCGGCAGGTTGGAGAAGTCCGGCAAGTCGGAGACGTGGTGTTTCGCAGGGCCGGATCCCCAGTTCCGAAAATCATACCCAGTTCAAAGGAGTTTAAACCCCCTGAGACCCCCTTCAACCCCCTTGAAAGGAAACCTCACTGAACCCAGCACCCGGTGAGGCGGAAGCTCAAAGTTCTCTTCCGACACCCAAGGAAACGTGAGGCATGAGGTCAGCGTCATGGATTCTGTCCGAGGTACCCAAGCCCCAATGCGTCTGGAGCAACCTTCCTTGCCAGCATTCTCCTCCCCTGGCATGTTAGAAGCACAAGTTGTGTTGCCCGCACAAGCGATGAACGAAAGGTTCAACGAGCTAAGTCACATATCAACAAGTGAAACAACCTTATATACAGGAGTTGCCAACATTTGCCAACTGCTTACCTTCTTCTCTCAAACCTAGAAGTGTGAATGAACGGGGAGAAGCACCCTTTCTTTGATACCAACATGCCTCATCCCCTCGGCATGTCATAGAAAGTGGCGGCCTTAAACCAAGTGTTCCATCAGATTTGGTTGGAACCCTGCCACTGGCATTTCAAATAACTAACGTGTTTGGGTTTTGGGTTTTTGGTTTTAGGGGTTGGTTTCAGGGCAACCGATTTAGGGGTCGTTCTGGGTTTACCCTTTTCGGGTTTTCGGGGAAACCGATTCTAGGGTTTTCCCCACACCAAGGTCCACTGGAACAATGGGAGAGCTCTGGGCTATGAGAGGTTCATTTGCTTCAACCCATTGAATTTCGGCCCATGAACTTTGAAGAGTTGGCGCCATCTCACAAGTTCTTGGACATGAATCCTGCGATCCCCACCGAATTGTGATGTCCTAAGATTCCCAAAAACAGAAACCTCCGTTTGCTAAAGTCCACTGGAGTCCCCTCTAAAGCCAAAGGGACTCAGACGACTCATGCGGACATAGCCGGACACTCGTTCGTGGGGACCCTAGTCCTAAGCCTCGCTGGGGAAGGAAGCTGTTCCACCGCTGTCAAGAACCAGCTGTCTGTCTTTGGGTTTTTGATGGTTTCATGAAAAGAAGGATCCCGGAAATGGGAAAGGTACCCCTACATCCCGATGTTCTGAAGCCCCAGGGCCATGTGAAGATTCCTCGCCTGACAGCTCGGCCGCGCCGCATCGCAGCGCAGGCCGCGGGTGGTCGGGGGCGCCCAGCGCAGAGTGACCCATCCTGGGGCAAGAGGCGTTTGGCGATGAATTCTCGTGGAGGTCCCTCTGACAAACATCCAAAATTCGCAAATGGCCCCAAAAGCCAAAAAACAACTTTCATCAAACTTCGCAAATGGCCCCAAAAGAATAACTTGACATGTCTGGGCTTTTCAAGGGGCGACTGAGTGAAAGGTAAGCTTCCCTGGATAGCCCCGTTTGGTCCCTTCTCATTTCTGCAAGCCGGGGGGTCAAATCCAAACAGGTGTCCTGTTGGCGAAACAAATCGATGGGTTTTCCTGTTGAAAATGGGTAATTCAACCAATCCAAAGCAGGAACCCATCTATTTCCAACCAAACTTATCTGAAAAGGGATACCTATGCCCCCAACCACCCATCCAAACCGCACCATAAAAAAAAAAAGAAGAAAAAAAAAAGAAAAAAAAACGGGCCCTCAGGGTATCAAAAACCGGTGATTAATGTCCCCCATGCAGACTTTGAGAGCAAAGAACCCTGTTAAATAGTATAGTCATAGTATGGGCGTCTCTTTTTGAGGGTGCGCTGTGTTGGGGTTGCTTTGCAGGGACATGACAGGCAAGCCACCTCCCCTCAAAGACAAACCCATAGAGGCGCTTGCATGGGGATCTATCCAAATTGGCCAAGGCTATCGGGTTTGGAGTTCCTCATTTCAGATTTTGGAGTGATGGAAGCTGGGGCCTCAGGGTCGGAGAGGCAGTGCTAAGGGAAGTAGAGTCCCTGCTTTTAACAAGGGGGAGTCTAGAATGATGGAATCTGCGGCCCAGGGCCGGAGAGACAGAAAAAGGGTTTGAAGAAAATGAGGGGGGGGGGGGGGCGGACAGGCAGTGTTAAGGGAAGATTTGTGGGCCTGCTTGTTTTAAACACAGGCGACTCTAGAATGGGGCTTCAGAGCCGGACAGGCACTGTTAAGGGAACATTTGTTGTGTGGAGAGCCTAGCGATTTCTTGGGCCCTGTGTCACAACAGACTTGTGCGATGTGTTGGGATGACCACTGTTTACTCCTGCCGAATTCAGCTTGCAACGCTTTGGTCTTTCCTTCACGTGTGATTCCCTTTGGTTTTTAGCCACGGCCCGGCTCGAGAGATCTACGCCGCCGTCGAGAAGAGCGGCCACCTACGAGGTAATCGCCATGGCAGTGCTATTGCCCGGCAAGACCTTGCGCTGACTTCGCGCAAAAACACTCTATCCGGATCGTTCGCAACGCTATGTCGCTGGAGCTCCACAGCAAGGACAAGCCAGGCAACATTGCATCCACGGCTATATGGCGGACGTGCGTAATTTCCAGAAGCCCACCGTGGTTATGAAGCGGCTTCGCAGGCTTAGAGAGGAACGTCGACTTCAAAGCTCGCAGCTGGCTGCGAGGCAGTTCCTTACAATTGCCGGAAGAGGCGGTAGCCAGGGTAATTGCCCCTTCGGCTATTTGTGCTAGCGTGTGCCCCGACACCCCAACAGGGACTGCGGAGCTTTGCGCAGGGAGACAATAGGGACAAGCAGCCTTTTGTTTCGGGGCATCGCTAACATGTAGCGCGCTTGCCAGCGCATACATGCACACTGGCACGTGCGCGGGCAAACAGTGCATGAATGAAACCTGGGCACCAGGGAAGGAAGGAAGGAAGGAAGGAAGGAAGGAAGGAAGGAAGGAAGGAAGGAAGGAATGAAGGAAGGAAGGAAGGAAGGAAGGAAGGAAGGAAGGTGCCCGCCATATATAGGACTAACTGGCCTGCGCACAGCTGCATTTTGCCCTGAACCAAGCGCTTCCATGTGACGTACGCGCAGATAGAAGGAAGGACCACCTTAGGACAAAGTAAACGTTGAAGCACTTTGCCGCTGTAAACGAAGCTTGTAACAGCAGGAAATCGCTGGCACCCACGCGCTCTAGTTCAGAGCCTTTTGACTCCGATGCTGGATGACTTGAGATACTTGAGCATGCTGCGTGAACATATTCGCCAGCTCTGTTTTGCTTTCCTTCACATGGGGCACATCCAGGAGGGTGCATGCTCTACCTTTTGATCTTGCGTGGTTCTACAGGGAAGGCACAAGGAAGCAGCAGCTTCTTGGTGCTTTTTTGGGGGTGCGGGCCATGTCCCATCCGGAGAACCCAAAGACCTCGTTTCACTTTCCGCCAGAACGCCCGCAGTGGAGTTCTCCAGCACCGGCGCGCCCGGCTGCCCTGCGATAAAAAAACGCGACTCGGCGAGCCGCGACTCGTCGGGTCGTCGGGGCGGGGGGGCACCTCAGGGCCTGATTGGTCCAAACCGGAGGAACCGAAAATCCAGTTTCAGTGGGGGGCTCAAAATGAAACAGGACATGGACCCCCAGATTTTGGCCCATCTTTCCATTAAGGAAAATGCCAGCTTTGGGTCCTGCCAAACGAACCCATCCCAGGACCCAAGATCGTCCATGTTTCCAACTTGGGTTCCTTAAGTACCCGTTCAAACGAACCCAAACGAAAGGAGCTCCTCCCGCAAAAAAACACATCCGCCGCGCGCGAGCTTCGGCGCTCGGCTCGCTCGGCTCGCTCTCCGAACTTCGGCGCGCAAAAAGAAGACGCCTGGGGGCCCGGTGGTGAGCAACTCCAGGGTCTCGCTCTTGGAGCCATCGAAGTCCTTTCGCCGGACTTCAGCCCATGTTGTTGTTTCTTGCTTTTTTTTGTTCTCGTGGCTTTCTATTGTTGTGTTTTTTCTTTCTTTTTTTAAAATCCATTTGTTTCTCGTTTTCCCCCCCCTTTCTTTTTCCGGGGAGACCCGAACCATCGATTTGTCCAGATCTCCAATTGTGATCAAATGTTCAGTTGTTTTCAGTTTGTTTGCAGTTGTTTTTAGTGTTTTCAGTTCTTTTCAGATTTCCACTAATTTGTCCGGAGAGACCTGCCCCCTGGACCGAACAAAAACTATCGAGTTGTTCAGAGTTCCAGTGATCAATTCCCTGCCCATGGGATTTTGAATGCCTCGCCCCCCTTGAAAAGCACAGATTTCCAGTAGTGATAAACTTCATTTTTGAAACATATAGAGGAAAATGACACATATGGAAGAGCATGATTCACCAACTGAACTTAAGGCGTTCAAAGGGCCTTTAAGCTTGTGGACATTTTGACCTAGAATAGACCAAACATGCCAAACTACTCTATGTATGCAAATAGTGTACCCAAATTTAATCTCATGGGTCAAGTGTTTGTACATCTATTGCCAACATGGATTGTGTGGAATGAACCACACATATGAACCCCTACCCTATGTCTGGAAAATTGCCCATTTGCCCAAACAGGAAATCAGGAACCCACAAGGAACCTTCATCCTGGGTGAGCTCGTTGGAATTGGCGGTTCCTCTCGTGGCAGATATGGTTCGATTGCATTCTACCTGTCCAAGAATCGGAAGTGGACAGCAGGGTTCGGCATCATCTGAAAATGGCCTTCTGTCCACATCCAGGAATCTTGGATCCATTGTAAAACGCCAGCCACAAACTAGTTCTGTCAATAAGTTTCAAACCTGTTGCTTTGGGAGTTGCGCGAGACTTCAACTCCTACGAAAAACGGATTGATGCACAGACCCCTTTTGGAAAGGGTATGTTAAAGGTGTTGTTCCTTGCGCTTCAAGTCAAAATAGGTTGTCCTTTTCAGTGGTTTCCTCCTTAAATTAAACTTGCCTGGAAGCACGCAATCTGTTGGGCACTTTGAAAAAGAAGGGGGGGCTAGCGGATTGGGTGAGGGCGGCCTTGTGTTGTGAGGGCCCTACAAACTCTGGGCACCGAAATTGCAACCAGAAAGGAACACCAAAAAACGCAACTTTTTGGGAAAGCAACAGGAGAACCGCATTTGTCGGGGGTCGCGTTCACACACACACACACACCCAAACCTTTTAGAGAGATCTCCACTTTTTTGCGGACCCCACCAGCCCGTTTAGCCCTTTCGGGTGAGTAAGTACGCCATTTCTTTGGACCAAGCACTGGAAAACACACACACAGTTGGGACCTTCCGCTTTCTTCTGGTGGGTTTTTGTCACAACCGGGTCAGCCCCCAAGTATGTGAGAGAGTGTGAAAGTACCCTTTCAGGTTGGTTCATAGAAGCACCAAAGACAGTCACCATACTTTGTTGTCTGTAATCCTCCATTTGCTCAAGTCCCCTGGAAAACAAAAATATGTCCAGTAGTGATAGATCCCTTTAAAACCAACAGGGGAAAACAAAAACATCTTCTTAAGCAAATGGAAGCAATCAAAAACATTTTGACCAATCCAGTCGGCCAAACACAAGCGCAGGGGCTAAGCGGCGCAACAACACGTGTCCTGGTTGGCCGCACTCACCGACAACACCAGGCTCTCGCTGAAGAGCTGTGGCACATCCACCTGCGAGAAAGAGAAAAGCGTTCGACTCGGGGTAGCTCCAGTTCCATTCTTAGGGATCCTTCGTTTCAGGAAACCAGCAGAAGAACGCCTAGAATTCGACTCATTAGACCCTCTGCCAGAGTGAACTTGTTGGTGGTGGAAAGGGAAAATGAAGAACAACAAGAACGAGAAGCAAGCAAAAGGAAAGTTCTTCCTATCGGAAGAAACAATCGGCCCATGAAAAGCGAGCAAGTCTGCGAATTGAAAAGGTCTACCGGGAAACCACAAAGCTACAAAACCACAAGTACAAAATCTAGAAACAACTTGTCCATTCTCTTCATGGATCCTTTTTCTAGCACACCGCCAAACAGCAGACACTCACAAAAACCGAGGTCTCAAAGAGATTTCCTCTCGAAGAAATGTGTTTTAGGGTGTGTACTGGGAAACCACAAAGCTAGGAAACACACCACTTCACATTCCCTTTTGCCTGCCCGCCTTGAAACGGACTCCCTAAAATGATTGACTTCTTTGGGACTCTGACGCAGCGCGTGCTTGTGCTGGGAAGATCTGACGTTTAGCTTGCGAAACCCACCCATGAACCACGTGATCACGTGGGTTTCAAAGGCCCTTGTCGTGTCAAATTCCCGTCAAATTCCCTATAATTCGATGGGCACCCCGAAGAACTTCTAGGTCCTCCAGTAGAGAGGTTAGAATAAGGGTACCAACTGTTGTCTGTAGTCTATCTTAGTAGGGGAACCCTCCCCCAAAAAGGAAACGGTAAAAGGGCACTACTGGGGGACCTAGACTTCAACTTCTTCGCTGGGGAACAGGCCGAAATCGTCGAACTTTTAGAGGACGCGGGCTGGAAAAAGAAACCTGAAACTCGGACCCAACTCTGACGGGGCTGGCACTCGCACTCTGGGGTTCGCGGGATTTGGCCTTGGTTCCTGCTAGGCGATTTTGGGAACAAACAAGGAACCCTTTCTGCGGTTCATCGTTGAAGCACCAAGGAATCCGCAGCTGTCAAACGGTTTTGGTTGAAAACAGCAAGAGGACAAGACTTGGGAGGTATTGAAAGCAAAGGAAAGCCATGTTAGATGGAGCATGCAAACTCTGGTACTTTTTCCCTTTTGGTTTCCTTCACACACCGTTTTGGGATCCCATTTTGGGTGGTAGGTGCACCACTTTTTAGTGGGGATTGGGATGTTCACTGGGGGCACGATTTGGATTTTGACCCATGGCCACATTTCGCTGCCTTTTTGTTTAATCGTTTGGGTGTTGACAACCACAGCCATGTCACCTTCCCTCACCCCCGCCTCCCAACAGGTGCGGTCCGTGCGATCCAGAGTTGCCAGCAAGCGGACGTGCCCGTCCATGTGCAGCCAAACCTCGGCTTCGGGGCTCTCAGGTGGCGACGACCCGGTGTACTGGAGTGAGGGATCAACCTGATGGAGTATAACTACCATATATATATATATATACATACATATATAGATCAATATTCCTGGCCCCCAAGTCTTGGACCATGGGCAAGCTTTCAACTTTCCCATCCAGTGGTTGACATCTCATCGTTTTACGCTTGGTCCAATGGCCATCCCATACCTGGTGGCTAGACTGGGGAAGTCGAGCTAGGCATAGGAAGCTCAGGAGCCTCTTGAGGTTTCCTTCACTTGGGTAACACTCCTTTTTCTGGATCTGTCTTGTTGATTCATCCGGGATCTCGACATTGGACACGGGGAAAAAAACTAACTCCTCACTCCTGGGTTTTGCAGGATACCTGGGCTGGTTCCCAGCCCAGGTAAAACTTTGATCACCTCTTGTAGGTTTACTGGAACAGCATTTCTTTCCAACAGATCCTGCCTGGATCGCCAGTTGCTGCTTTTCTCCAATCGCTTTATCCCAAAAAAACCAGCAACAGTGCCGGGAAAAAGCCATCGCAACTTGGCTAGGTGGGGCCGTCAAGGCCCGAATCGCCATGAGTGAGTCCCTTGAGTCGGGGATCTCCACTCCAGAAGTTGGACCTCCACTCCAAAAAACTCGGCGGCGGCGTTCTTTGTTTCCACTCCACCCGGAAAAAGGGCAGCGCCGCCCAAAACACAACAAACACGTCGGCCTCCATGGCCCCGGAAAAGGGCAGCGCCCCAAAAGAACAAAGAAAAAACATCTCGGCCTATGGCTTTCAAAGAGAACTCCTTGGTGAGCAAAAGCTCTTGGAAGAACTCCGGGAAGCCCACCGAAACACACTGGACATTGACACCAACACAGCCAACAACAAAAAACCGCATACGTGAACAAGAGCACCTAAAACTTTGCCGAACAGCCAGCCCAAAAAAACAAAACACACACACACACCACGCCTCTGGAGCACTTGCCAAGAACAGTAATGGGCGGCTCTCAAAATGGTGAACCCCATGTCGGTTGCACTTAAAACGGGGGAACACAAAAAAAATAAAAAAACCGGGATCCCTTGCCATAGGAAACCGATTCCTAGTTCGCTTCAGTTCAACACCCCTTTCTTTTCAGGGCACCCTTCAGGGCACCCGCATAGGAAAAATGAATGGTACCCTGTTTGGGGCTGGGTTCGAAGAGAAACCAAAAGGAACAACCGCCGTTTTGTGTTTTTTGTTTGGCCGGGGGTCTCCAAAAAAAAGAGACACGCCCACGTTGAGAAGCACCCATGGGCCTCCATTTGCTTCAGTCCACTGGAGCCAAAAATACTTCCAGTAGTGATAGATTCCCTTTAAAGCTGTTGGGGGACCTAGTTTCCTTTAAAGCCAACCGGGGAAAAGAACACGTGTTAATTTCATCAAATGGGCGTCAACATGGCTTCGGTATTCCGGGGTTCCCTTTACCCCCCCCCAAAGGGGGACCAGCTCAAAACAGACGGACCCAAATGGAAGTGCATCCCAACTACCACAATGGGAAGCTACGACAAGGAAAACCCCTTGCGCAACCCAAGGTAAGGAAAAAGGATAATCTTTGAACAGCCCAAATATTCTTGGCTACCACTGGGAAAGGGGAATGTACCAACTGGAGCTAAGAAAGCCGCTGGAACTTCGAAACCGCTGGATACCCTATGGAGGGAACCGGTGACCCTGCCGGTGACACATGGAATGACCCTTCGAAATTCCGTCCAGGTGGTTTCCTAGGGGACCAAAGCCGTTCATTCCCACAACCCTGGAGCATTCCCTACTGAGCACCAAAAGGCGTTTGGCTATGAATTTCCATGGAGGGCCCTCTGATAAACATCAAAATTTATGGATGGCCCCACAAGAAGAACCACATTCCCCAGCTACTGTTGACCCCCGTATTCATCAACCCCAGTTTATCAAGGGAGATGTTCCCCTCCAAAAGTGAGCACCCACTAAAAGCAAGGACGCCCCTTGATAAACAGCGGTTTATTAATAGGGGCTGTTCATTCTCCCAGGGAACCGGGAGAATGGCTGCGCGAAGTCTCCCGAAACCTCCGAAACGAGTCCGGAGCCCGAGGAGCTCGGTACAGCTGCACAACCAGGTCTGCGCCGTCCGCGCCGTTGGCGCCCCCCAGGTCCTACCGTGCGACGCCCCGGTTTTGGCCGGCGGGGGAAGGCGGGGGTCTGATGGTCCTATGCGGCAGGGCGTCGGTCCTCTGGGGTCCTGCAAAAAATCGAGTGGTTTTCCAACTTGGCGTTTCTGTTGGAATTTCCCGAAAAATGAGTGGCTTCCCTTTTCCCCTTGAATGTCCCTCAGCCCGAAGAGTAGACATACCCATTTGATGCGGTTTTTGGGGATCTGCCATGTCGCGTGGAACTCGCAAAAGGTCTGGCGGATTCGGCAACGAGTTTCCAGAGTTGCAGGTGAGAAGCTCCCACAGGAAGCAGAACTGCTTGCTTGGGGGGGGTATTCAAGTTTGGAAGGAGTTCTTCTCCACTTCAACCCTGGCCATGTTTTTTCCTTCGGAGTTGGACCCCCTAGGGTGGTGGACACAAATCCCGGAATTCTGATGTTGCAAGGGCCCCCGATCTCAATTCGCACCCGTGGCGTTTTCCTGTGGGTCTGGGGATTGGAATCCCCGAGCAAGTGGAAGGTGGACTCTCCGATTTGTTGGGCTCTGGCCACGTATGTTGCAAGAGAGTTACGAAGTCCACATTGAACTCAGGCAATTTTTGGCTTGGGTCTCTTCTAGCTTTGCAAAAGCCATCTTGAACTCTTTTCGGTGGCCCCATGTTTCAGGATTTCCTATCATCTTTCATGGGGCATTTGTTTCGGGAATTGCTCCCTAAAAATGTGTGAAGCAAGTATGCCCTTTTGACCTTCGAAGCTTTAGCCAATGAAGCGAGCTCCGGTCTCCGCGTAGAACTTTGTCCAAACCCCACCCACCCAAAAACAAACACAAAAACACCCACCCACCCACCCACCCACCCACCCATCCCCCCCAAAACAAAAAACACCCATCGCACCCTTCCCCCCCCCCAAAAAAAAAAAAATCCCCCCGGGAAAAAAAAACGCACAAAAAATAAATAAACAAATAAATAAATAACATATATGCAGAGAAATAAAACAAGAAACAGATGATGCCCGCTCCTCTGGTGCTGCCCAACAGAGCTGTGGGCGAAGTGCTTGTGGGTGCCACACCTCGGGAAATCCGCGCCATTTTCGGGTGGGGTCCTTTTGGAAATCTACCAAAACCCATCCAACAATTGATTCGGGCACCCGCAACCGGAAAAAAAAACCCTTGCTTTAAGGTGGACATCAGACTTCGGGATTGAATATGTCTTTAAAATCATGACCTTCGGGGTGCAAGGTAAACCATCAACGCAGAAGCGGGTTTATCCAGGGGGCCAAAAAGAATAGTTCTTGTGGCCAAAAAAGGATTTCTTCTCAATTGGGCACCTATGCTTCCAAGAAGCTTGAGTTGGCAACGGGAAACCGACCGGTTCTTGAATCTCGGGCTTAGCTGGCCTCCCATTGCCAAAAACTGAACAATACTTACTCAGACGTACCCTCATGTGTCAATAGTCAATTGGCATGCAAAAATATGAACCTACGAAAACATGAAAATATGTCTATCCATATTTGTGTCTACATGGATTGTGTACAATGTTCTAACATCCCTTTCAACCCAGCCCCCCTCAAAAGTACAGCTCAACCGCACCCGCCGCACCAAAGCCGGCTGATGCCCTCAAAAATCCACCGATGTCAGGTCTTGGTCACCAATCTACCAAGAACAATACCATATCCCCTCCCCTCCCCACCTGGATTAACACATAGGATAACTCCCTAGGATTAACCCATAGGATAACATACATGGATTAACCCCTCCCCTCCCCACCGACACCTCTTCCCAAAACATGGCGAGCCTCATGCCATGTGCCAATATCCGGTAAGCGGATTCCCCCCCTCTCCCACCGAGACGTCCTAGGTTCTCGAGTGAGGATAGAATAAGTTGGTACCATATTTTTTCTATCTATTTGAGTAGGGGAAACCCTCCCAACCAAAAGCGGTTGGAGAGCGGGGCACCAGCTTCAAAGGCGGGCCCCACATAAACCATGGCCCAAAAAGGGCACCCGTTATTTTTTTTCTTCAACCATTTCAACCCATCATGTGCAAGATGTTGCCCTAAGGAGCTGCCAGAGTCCCTCATCCCCCCGAGACCCTCGGCATCGAGGCGCCGCGTGGAGCCCCGAGGGCGCGGAGGGCGGCTCCACCGCGCGGAGCGCGGCCTCGGGGCTCCAGACGCCCCACCCGGCCGCGGTCTCCGCGCGCAGGCGGAAGCGGTAGGTGCCCCCAACCCGCAGCCCGTTCCTCGGGCGGGTCGGCCAAGACGGTGTTTTTTGCTTGCTTTTTGTTTTTTGTTGTTTTTTTCCGGCTTTCCGGTTGGGTTGGGGGGGGGGAGGGGGGTGTCAGGTTGTTTGTTGTTTTTGTGCTTGGTGTGAGGGTGGTTTCTAGTAGTCATGTTTTTGTTGATTGTTGAAAGAGAAGAGGTCGATTGTTGCGGTTCAGCCAGTTGCTTTATGTTGACTTTGTTTTTGTTGCGTTGTTCATGTTTTTTTTTTTTGGTGAAAACACACGTTCTCTCCTGAACGAACCAATAATTTGCTTCAAGATTTTAAGGTCCACCCGGACAAACGCAACGAACTTAATGGGCAGATGTTCGCACCTGTTTTGAGGCAAACTGCCCCCAACCTGGATAACCTTCAACTAGATTTCAATTGTGGCTCTAAAGAGGCGTCCCTTGAAACCAAGCGGCTATGAATGCAACCGATTGAAACACCCTCAATTTTGCAAATTTAACCCCGCACTCCCACTCATCACATGTACTTCCATGTCCACCGGAATCTCAGCACACATGTCTTGGGGGCAACATGCGCGGCGAGTTTTGCCGTCAGACCGTCTCCCAGAGGATTCACCAAAAGAAAACTGCACCAAGCCTCATGGCAGTCCAAGGGTGTTACATGGCACACATCGCAGCGCTCTCTTTCCGTGGCCTTTTCAGACCAACATGGGCGGTTCAGAAGCCTCACTACGAACCCCTTTTTCCAACCGGGCTGCTCCGAGATCCCTGGGAAAAGTCCAACTTATTGGTGGGTTACTGGAAACTACCACTACAACAACTAAATAACATAAATATATCCGCCGACATTGCTCGGCGTGTCGGATACTTACTAGAGGATAGAGGATAACCCCCCCCCTAACCCCCCCCCGCCCGACGTCTATTACGTAGGTTTTTTGGGGGGGGGGGGGTCCCCCACGTACCGCGCGGCAATTTGATGACGTTCCACTAAACGTAGTCTTCGGGGAGCCGGTGTCGCAAAACAGGGGTCCCAGGCTCGATTCCCCCTGCCGGCTTTTTTGCTGGCTTGGGCTTCCTGCATCCTTTTGCCGAAAATCTGGAAAAACTCAATGTTTTTGGACGTCCTCTTTGCGAAAACGCTGGAAAAACCGTGTTTTTTTGCGGGAAATACTGGGGAGCAAAGGGGAAGTGCAAGGATACATACATACATACATACATACATTACAGTACATTACATTACATTACATGACATTGCATGACATTACATACATACATACATTACATACATACATACATGCATACATGTATGTAAGCATGCATGCATGCATGCATGCATGCATGCACACATACATAAATACGTACATACATTACATGCATTACATTACTTACTTACTTACTTACTTACTTACTTACTTACTTACTGACTTACTTACTTACTTACTTCCTTACTTACATACTCACATACATGCATACATGCATACATACATACATGCATACATACATACATACATGCATGCCTACAGACATACATACATACATACATACATACATGCATACATACATACATACATTACATACATACATACATACATACATACATACATACATACATACATACATACATACATACATACATACATACATACATTACATACATTACATACATTACATACATACATACATACATACATACATACATACATACATACATACATACATACATACATACATACATACACAACATACATACATACATACATACATACATACATACATACATACATACATTACATACATACATACACACATGCATTACATACATGCATACATCACATACATACATACATTACATACATGCATACCTACATACATACATACATACATAACATACATTCATAGATACATACATACATGCATACATGCATGCCTGCATACATACATACATTTCATACATACATTACATACATACATACATACATACATACATACATGCATGCATGCATACATACATACATGCATTACATACCTACATACATACATACATACATACATACATACATACATACATACATACATTACATTACATACATACATACATACATACATACAATTACATACATACATACATACATACATACATACATACATACATACATACATACATACATACATACATACATACAATACATACATTACATACATTACATACATACATACATACATACATACATACATACATACATACATACATACATACATACATACATGACATACATACATTACATACATACATACATACATACATACATACATACATACATACATACATACATACATACATACATACATTACATACATACATACATACATACATACATACATACATACATACATACATACATACATACATACATACATACATACATACATACATACATACATACATACATACATACATACATACATACATACATACATACATACATACATACATACATACATACATACATACATACATACATACATACATACATACATACATACATACATACATACATACATACATACACATACACATACATACATACATACATACATACATACATACATACATACATACATACATACATACATACATACATACATACATACATACATACATACATACATACATACATACATACATACATACATACATACATACATACATACATACATACATACATACATACATACATACATACATACATACATACATACATACATACATACATACATACATACATACATACATACATACATACATACATACATACATACATACATACATACATACATACATACATACATACATACATTACATACATACATACATACATACATACATACATACATACATACATACATACATACATACATACATACATACATACATACATACATTACATACATACATACATACATACATACATACATACATACATACATACATACATACATACATACATACATACATACATACATACATACATACATACATACATACATACATACATACATACATACATACATACATACATACATACATTACATACATACATACATACATACATACATACATACATACATACATACATACATACATACATACATACATACATACATACATACATACATACATACATACATACATACATACATACATACATACATACATACATACATACATACATACATACATACATACATACATACATACATACATACATACATACATACATACATACATACATACATACATACATACATACATACATACATACATTACATACATACATACATATGTACATGCATGCATACATACGAGAGAGGGAGAGTGGGGAGAGAGAGGCTTCGCGGGATGGGGAGGATGGGAGCAGAGGGAGGGAGAGAGGACAACAGAACACACGAGGGAGACAAGGAAGAGAGGAAGAAGGAGAAAAGGGAGAGGACAATGTCGGCGGACTGAGCCGGAGGCTCTAAAGTATATATATATATAAACTACTCATACAAAAGCTAAAAAAACAAACAACCTTCAGCTAGCGGCAGCTGGTAGCGGGTGTACTCCGCACGTATGGGAACTGTGGCCAGGAAGTCCCCGCCGAAGCCCTCGGGTCGGCGCTCAGGGGCGTGGGGCAGCTTTCAGGGGTTCATGAATTATGTTGACTGGTTGTGGTGATGTTGGAACACCAAATACAGATATATCAATCAACTAGTTTTGGTGATGTACGTGTTGCGGTTCTGGGTTGCCGTGGAAAATCCGCGGTTGGGGATACCACCCGAAACCTTCTACTTTTTGGAGGCCACCGAATATGGGGGAAACCGTCGAATTTGGGGGTCCTGGGTGATTTAAACCATTTTAAGGCCATAGGGGAATAGGACCCACAAGGCCCACTGGTGCTTCTTTGGGTTTCCCTTTAACCTGAAATCACCCTTCAAAAGTCCGTGCCCTGAAGGAGCCGGGAGAGGTATACGAAGCCTCAAGAAGTCATTGAACCGGGCGAAAAGTGATAATTATTGACCCCCCCCGGAAAAAAAGGGGGGGGGGGGAAAAAGGGAAAAAAAAAGAACGAAGACCAGATCGACAACAGGGAAATGGCTGAACAAAAACACCACACGGCCGGAGATTAACACGTCTCCAAGAACCGACATGCGCATCTTCTTTCCGCCTTCAAGTTGACCCTGGATAAATCAAACCAGATCACTGGAGGGGGTGTTTCCCAAACCTAGACTTTTGCCGAACAAGAAGAAGCCTGAAGCGCCAAGCAACAATGGACCCACCCGGGTTCAGCACCAACATGGGCATGAGCTGTCAGAGTTGGAACCTCAAAAGTGGTCGGACGCCACATGGTCCAGCGCAATCGGTTCGCGGTTCGCGGTCCGCTTCCTTCGGTCCTGACTGGTGCTTTGGATATTGAAATTTGGGGTTGGATGGGGGCTGTGGAGTTGAACCCCTGGCTTTTTCTGGAGAAAGAAATCCGAAAAAAACCACCCGAGCCTCTTAACCACCGGGCTCCAAACTTGGAGGGAAGCTGCCAACTCAGCTGCCCAAAAGACCCAGAAATAAAAGGTTCACCTTTTGGGCCCAAGAATAGGCCAAACCATGGAAACACCCCAAGCTTCATTTGGATCGGTTCGCTTGGGCAACTCAAATGCCCAGTTCCCCGGAGGGAAACAAAGAGAACGAATAAACGAAAGCTGTGAAGCCCAAACCACCAAGCCACAACTCAGCTGCCCAAAGGGTCCCCGAAAAAAAACATGTCACCTGAGTCCTAATCAAAGCCCGGTATTAAAATGGTCTACCCAGAACCATGCTTTAAGAAGCAAGGCGGATATCCGCAGCTGTTTATAGTTGGGATTGTCCCTTACTAACCGAGCCATCTACCCGAATCGGTTTCGATTGCACGTGGCTCGCCTTTTGGGGCGCGCCCGAGCCTTGCCTCGCCTTGTCGTGCTGCAGCTCCACCGTCAGCACCGAGGGATCCAAGGCCCACTTCAGCGACAGCGAATCCCGGCGCACCGCCGCGCTGGGGTCCCGCCAGGGCGGCTCTGCGTGGAAGACCTGCGGCCCGCAAGGCCCGACTCTGGAGCCTAGGACACCCCAAAGGTCTACCTTCGTATTTGTTGACAGGGAAACCACCAGTAAGCCCATATACCAACCATCTGAATCTCCTTTGCTGCAGCTGGACTTGCTTTTTTCGGGCTCTAGGAAACCACCAGTAAACCCACCATTTAGCAACCATTTGGGTCTCCTTTGTTGGAGCTGGACTGGTTTTTCGGGCTCTAAAGGGAAACCACCACTAAACCCACCATTGATGACCAGTTGGGTCTCTTTGTTTTTGAGTTGTTACCTGTTACCTGTTGTTACCATTTGGAGTTGTTACCATTACCTGTTGTTTTTTCGGTTTCCCTTTGTTGTTTCTGGTTTTCGGGGGGAAACCGACAGTACACCCGCCCCAAACGTGGGAAGTTCAATTCAGAGCTTCGCCCCCGGTTTTTGGCCTGGCTGGTGCCGAGTTGGGTCTCGCCGGCCTGGGTCAAGCGGTCGATCGGGTTTGGAGAGGTGAGAAATGACGATGTGAAAACGTGTAAATATATATCTATCTATATATATATATATGTATATATTATGTATATATATATATACACATACACTGTATATATAAATACTAAAAAATGTTGTTTTAAAAAAAACAACAAAAATATGTGTATATATATATATGTATATTATACACATATATACAAATATGCTACCCCCCCTACAAATGTTTACCTTTTTGGGGTTTCAATGGTATTTGCGGTGCTTTATGCTTTTTTGTGCTTTGGGGAAAGCAGCAAAAAAAGGGCCATATATGGCCATATAATACACAGACACTCAGGACCCGTAGGGGGGCTATGGGGGGGGGGGGTGTCCCTGATCCTTCATAAGGCAGTACTAACGGCCTATCCTTGGCTTATCCTAGGCTTCTCCAGGGATAAGCCCCCCGCCCCATAGCCCCTCTAGAGGTCCATGACACACACACACACACACAAAAAAAAGAAAAAGAAAGAAAGGCCACTCACTGTCAATGGCCCCTAAGGTGACTATTGAATCTGCGGAGTGAAGGACACCATGTGAAGCATGCGTGCACTTGTTGGGAACGTGGATCCCGGCTTTGATATTTTTCTTTGGCGTATGGGTGTCTTTTTGTTGATACCCTTGTTTGGGTGGTTCAAAAGAAGCACCAGAAAGAAAACCCCCATTTCGGTGGGTCCCCACCCACAAACCTTGGTCATTTCTTTTGACCCTTGAAAGATTGGCAGACGGCTTCCTTCCGAACAAGTTTCGGAAGCAGTGCTTCTGGCAAACCTGACCTCTGTTTGGATGTGTTTTAAAGGGAAACAAAAAGGAAACCACCTGGAGGGGTATTGCATGTGACGTCAAACAAAGGATGGTGGCTCGCGTTGAGACTGCAAACATACCTTCATGGGTGCTGCTGATTCAGCCACCTGGAGTCTGCATCCCTTTGGCATGAGGTCACAACTATTATTTTGGGTATTCCATTTCTGAAGGGTGGAGACTCCTCGTAGACAATTGGTCTTCTTGTTCCCTTTCATACAGTGTTCCCCATATTTGCTGCGGGCTTCTTTTTCTGCAGCTAAACTTGGGTGGTCAACAAAATAGTTGGCCCTCTTTGGGCAACCCGCAGAGGGGAGGCACCAAGTATGAAGGTTCAGAAAACGAATGTGCGGAAATTGTTGGGCTAAAGGGCAGCTCGTTCAACACTGGAAGCAACATATGTGGTCAAAAACAGGGATCCTTACATTATACACCTGAACATTGCCTTGTAATTACATGGTGGTGTCCCTCTATTTTTGTAGAAAAAGCCATGTTTCAAATGGGCGAAATGTATCTTTTGAGGAGCCCTGAAAAAGTGATTGTTTTTAAGGGGAAGGATGTGGGTCACACCACTCGCTCTCAGAAGCCTCTTGGTTCAAATTCCGCCCGTTTACAAGTCGACAATCTTGTGTTGGTCCCAGCGGGCAAACGAACGAACCCCGGCTCTTGAGCCACACATGGAATTCCAGGGATCACCGTCACCCCTCAAGTCCGTTCTTTTGGCCGCTCGTTATTTAGCACGACAAGCAGCGGCCTTACAACCACTTGCAGAAGTTGACTGTGTGTCAAGTAGGTCCGGAAAATCCAAAGACATAACCTACAAAGATATAACCTACAAAGTAAAGGTTAGACATAACTTACTGTGTGTCCGGAAAGCCAACAAACAGAACCTAAAAGTACAGCATTGCCCTGGGACAAGGGAATCAAAAAATATGGGATGCCTTGAGAAAAGAACATTGTCCATGGGACAACCCAAACGACTCAAACACCTGGGATGTCGCACCTGGTTCCTTGCATGCCTCAACCTGCCTTTTTCCAGGGGTTGATTCCTTTTCAAGTCTTTTCAACCATCCTTCTTTTCAAAAACAGGATCCGTTGTCCCGATCGGGTTTTGGGTGGGCTTTTAGAAAGATCCGGATGCCTCGACTCAGAATGGGGAAGCTACCCCTGGACGTTTCTGGATGCGGCGAAACCAAACCAAAACTGAGAGAAGCTGTCGCTGGGGCCCCACACCAAGCGCCGGGCGCTCAATGCCTCTCTGACTCTCCTCTCAACTTCCGTTTCCCTATAAATGACACCCAACATGGATATGTTGTGTATTATGTATATTATGTTTTTCTTTATGTGTGGGTTGTCTTCTTGGAGTTGCTACCTGTTCGTGGGGTTTTGAAGGAACACCAAAAGGACAACCACTGTCTTTTGTTTTGCGAAGGGTAAAAAACAAAACAAGACACACCCATATTTGTGTGTTTGATGTTTCAGTGTCTATGTCCCTGACAAGTCACGTCGCTTGAAAACCAAGAGCAACATCAAATCAGCCCAAGCGAGTGGCTGAACGCACGGCTCGCGAAAGAATCTCCAGGTTCACCAATTTAACCCAAAGCGCTCTGGTGGCTAAGTTTCAGCCCCCAAGGAAAACACAGGAAATGGAAACCAATGGCAACGTCGCAAAGATTATCACAACCCACACACTGAAACCCATGCGACACATGAACCCACATTTACCCTCATGGGTCAAGAGCCTTTTACAAAAAGCCTACATGTTGATCAATATTCCATTCCCCCCAAATGACCATGAATCACTTTTTCCCATTTGGTGATTGAAATCTCATCCTTTTAGTGGTTTTCAAATCACTGGTCCCGTGCTTGCCGGACCTTTTGACGACACCCCCTGGATTTCTGTGGGGAAGGAACCTCGAAACGGGGTCGCCCTGCTCTCTCGCTGCCTCAGCGGCTGCAGGCCCCGTGTGCCTCGGGGGAAAAGCCGTGAAGTGGTGAGCCTGGGGTCCAGTTGCCACCTTTCAACTGGGAATTCCATTTCTTGGTCCAGCAGAGAGGGTTAGAATAAGAATACCCGATTTCTTTTCTGTAGTTCATTTTAGTTGGTCAACCCTCCCAACCAAAAAAGGGGAGAGAAGGGCACTCCTGCGAAACCTAGTCTCATTTCCTGCCTATCGCATCAGCAAGTTGTTTCTTAGACTCTGGGCTGTCCGTTTTCTGATCCTCTGCAAGAAATGAATGACTTGTGGGTTAAATGGTTTGACCCAAGCACCAAACCAACGAAACCAAGATCTCAACGCCTAAGGAACTGGACGCCTCGGAAAAAAAAAGGAGGAACAAAAAAAAAAAAAACGCCAAGTAAAACATTGTTTGGGTTTATATCACCATTTTTCCCATGAAACCAAGGAACCCGCTGATGGTGAGAGGCTTTCGGGGGAAGGTCCTCGCTGATTTTTCATCCTTCAACTTGCTGACTTTGACCTCAAGAAATTGTCAAAAATGAAGACCCGAGTGGTCCCCCAGCCGAAACTTGATGTGTTCTTCACACTTTTCTTGTTGTAGCTGCGTTTCGTTTTAAAAAACACATTCCACCGGGATTTGCATGCTTTTGCCTGTCTCCGTGGGACTCTCACAGCAAAGCCTGGGGTACCTCTGAAAATCAACCAGGAGTGACGATCAACACCTACAAGTCTTGGAGACAGGCCCAAAACCTGCACAATAACGTCTCAAGCTTGCATGCTTACAAACGGTTCCTCGCGTTCCTTCGCTTTACCCAAGGATTGATTTTGGCTTACCTTGCTGCTAAGATCAGCCCACGGAACCAGCTCGGCACTTGCCCATCCTCTGCCTCCAAAAGCCGAGGTTTTACGGGGCTGTGTGGCGGAACTTAGAGCCACTCCCCGTGCCAGAAGCAGATTTTCCCAAGGTAGAGGTTAAAGATCTAGTAGCCAAATGAATATTTTCCCAAGGTAGAGGTTAAAGATCCAGCAGCCAAATTTGAGGTGATTTGTGCCCGGGCGAGGGTCTAAGGCCCATTGGTCGCGCCTGGTCAAAGCCCCGCTCGCTGCAAGCCTGGCCCGCTCCCAACTCCCCCAAACATCCTAAGGCCATAGAGCCGACCTGAAAATTATGCGCAAACATTCAACATACCCTCCCTGCCACACCGGAGATCCCTTGAAGAGGAACTCAATTTTACAGGTGTCAACAGTTTGCACCGGCCACCCCCTTGAAGCATGCTGGAAACACACCTGTGTTTGAACATCCTCCCTTTGACGTTGCCTGCAGGCAATCAACAACTGGCGAGAAAACCTTAAGTTGCACCCGATCGCAACCGATTGCCTGAGGCTGATAAGATGTAAAAGAGCCAGGAGCTTCAACGCCATCTGCGTCTCCTGGCAAGGCATGCATGGCATGCGCGCGCGCTGCATGCAATTCTTGGTCAGTGATCCAATCCTGTGGCTCCGTTTCCCCATTCCCCAAAGGGTTCAGCCACGTCGTTACAGGCCACGGCCTGAGGTCCGAAGCCCAACATTTTGACAGGCCAAGTCAGCTTCATGAAGCCCAAAGACCCGCAACAAAACGCCGAAGCCGCGTTTTGATTCTCAGAGGTGCGGTTCCCGAGGTCCTCATGTCGCTAGCGACATGGCAGCAAAGGCGCTGGTCAATGCTGGTCTTTGCATGTGCCCAGCAAGGTGTCCCTGTTTACTTGGCAACTTGAAGGAAAAAACCACCGTCCCAAAGAAACGTGGCTGTCTACCTACTATAGCGGTAGGATCCACTATGGGTTACAAGAGTTCATCTCAGTGCGCATATGTAATCTCCGCAGTTTTGTTTAAGGGATGTGGTTTACATGGGGATGTGTTCCTGAGGGGAGCCCTTCAAACGGTTGACTTTTGTGTTTTCACCCAAAACAAATAACATTCGACAGGGTGGGTCAACGACGGCCAAACCATGGCCAACACGTGGCGAAGACCATCTGTGTAAAACGAACCGAACTTGGAACGTCGTTTTGAGCCAGCGCAAGCCCAGAGAAGTGTCATGCCGATGCTTTGGTGGCTATTTCCCCCGACAAGCGAACAACTGTTTGCTGGCTATTGGGGAGAACACAAGACCAACCATTTAAGGGCTAAGAACCAAACGAAATGACAGCCAAGTCTTGGCCAAGAATGCGCAGACCTTGCTACCATAGATGATGCATACGTACCCGCGATCCACACAATGGGCAAGCTTAGTATTGTCAGCATCCTGCACTGCCTGCTTTTGGGTGTCCTTTTGAACAACTAGGCCTCACTTCCCGAGCGGATTGGCCAACAAGAAGTCTGAAACTTGCTGTTTACCACTAAAATTGTCTTCCCTCAACAACAAGATTTCCAGGAACTCGGGGAGTGAAAGGCACGGGTAAATCGTTAGAATCAATCGACCTCGGGTATCGAATCACCTCCTGGATACCTCGGGCTCTGGTGTGACCTTTTCTTCGGCTCAGGCGCGCCACATCACATACTGGGGGATTTGGGTGTCATTTTTTGCGAGTATAGGTTTAAAGGAAAAACGGACAGGAACATCACAATGATGCGGGTCCCCTAAAACATGGCACAGCCATTTACGTCCACCAAACGTGTTTTGAAGGCAGGGTAAGAAGCAGGTAAGGCAACTAAGCCATTCCTAAACTTTTCTGGCTTCTCTCCCCATCCATGCTTTTCAGAGTGCCTGCTTGGTTTCTCAAGACAGCGGCTTTCTAATCTGGGGGTCACCTTCTGGTTTCCCATTCAACCAACAGGACGTCCCCCATTTTGAGACCCCCTGTTGGATGGATTTCAAGCAAAAACCACAGGAAACAAACCTTTTTGGGGGTCCCTAGCTTATGAAACACGAACTAGCCCCTCGGTTTCTCCTCTTCATCGTCATCGTCATCTTCCATTTGGTTAAATCCCCAGGAAAAAAATAAACATATTTCGTAGTGATGATTTCCTTTTAAGACCAATATGTTTAAGCAAATGGAGGTCAGTGGCATGACGCCCCGCGAAAGCCGCCTTTTCCTCCTTCGCCATCACTGTGTGATGCGTCGAGGTCTTCCCAAACGAAACATCCCGGGCCTTCCGGTTCCGTGGCATGCTGGACCTTCTCTCTGAGTGTCTCTTAAACTGGAGAGAGATGGGCGCCAAAACGGTTGCTTCCCTTGATTCTCTTCGAAGCAACTCCAAAAAGGATACAGACAAAACAAAGAACACAAGGGCCTATTCCTGTTGGGAGATAATCAGAAGGGCTTATAAAGAAATGCTTAGAATGGGATTGAACAATGCTTCAAAGAATCACATCATGGCATGCAATTCCTTGGCCCCTATTGACCAACTTGCACCCACCGCTAATCCCAATAACGGTTTAGCATCTGATGCAAAGAGTCTGCGTGAATCCAGGCCCTCCAGCCACGATGTTCCGGTCGTATTTCCAGGGGCTCCGAATCTTTCCGAAACCCACATGGCGGCTCAAAAACTCGGTTGCGAAATCTGCGAAGCCCGTTAGTGGTTTAACACGGAAAGCCCGTTAGTTGGGATAGAAAGTTAAAGTCCTAACATCCCTTGGCAAAATGCACCAAACAAAAACATGTAAACCCAAAAAGTGGCACCCTTGGCAAATGGAACCAAAGACTAAAACCTACGTACCCCTAGCTCTTTAATTTTGAGCCACAGCCACCTGAGTCTGATCGTTGGGGCCGGAAGCAACTGGTGAACCCCCGAACGCGAAATCGGAATCGGTCGGTCCAGGACGTGCGTGGGGATCAAGGACTTCTTTCGGCTAAGGATTGGCGGTTTTGACTGGGCGACTCACTTCCCCGAAAGAAAACTTGGAAATCCAAGGCTACGATATTTGGGGCCGAATAGAGCTGCCACGCCAGGACATCACTTTGGGTTTTAATCCGTCGATTCGTTTTGGGGAGTCTTCTCATTTGAAGAACTGGGGCAACTCCCGAGTTCCAAACCACCAATTCCGCATGCCGATTGGATCAGCTCCGCTTCCTCCGAATTTCCTCGAGAAAAATAACTCGCGATTGAACCCCAAGGTTGTCTTCCACAAAGGTAAAGAAGAACAGCTAGTATATACTATGCTCAAGTAGAGAGGTTAGAATAAGGGTACCCGACTTCTTGTCTGTAGTCCATTTTAGTAAGGGAACCCAAAACCAAATTAAAAAAAAAGGCGAAAGGGCCCGATTTTGGGGGGACGCGTAAACATCCTGGTGTCCACGCTTGTTTTGCAGTTCTGGTGGGGAAAACCCAACCTGTGGGTTGGCATTGCAAGGGGAAACCAAAAAGTTGCACACCTCGCCAGATCCCGGGCGACCAAAGGTCCTAGTTTCAGATTTTGGGCGTGCGCCCCATTCATCGCAAGTCTTCCGAACTGTGGAAGTCTTCCAAGGGCACCAGATATCTCGAAGGCAACGGACATGCACACAAATCTAGGCCAACTCATGTAAATCGTAAACCAGACATAGTGAATCCTCAAGTGAGAGACCTCAGTCGTGTGTCGTCTTACCCAGGTGAGCTCGTTCTACTTTGTCCAATCGCTCTTCACACCAGCATCAGTGCAGATTCACCTTCAAAAGATCGCTTCTCATTTGAGCAGCTTGGCCACCAAAAGAAAAAGGTGGTGGAAGTCTGACAAACTGCGTGTCAAAACAGGTGGTCCTCCCACGTGTGAAGCGAGTGATAGAACCTCAACTTCGGACAGATCTGGACCCCAAAAGTCAAAGGACCCCACCAAAATGGGAACGGTTTCAGTATTAAACTGGGAACCGCCCCGGATTGGTACGGTCCTCCGGATGAATCGAAAGTTCGTGACATTAGAACCTTCGTCATGAATCATAGACTCCGAATCTCCCTGCGGAGACGCGCGCAGATTCGGAGGAAGACTCGCTCGCTCTGCGGCTCGCTCGCATCCCGCCGCGGAATCGGAGCTTACGTACGCGCCTTAAGCTCTCCGAGGCCTTGGCCATTTGGCGGTGGGTCAAAATCCAAATCGTACCCCCAGTGAACATCCCAATCCCCACTAAAATCGGTTCTAAAATGGGTGGTGCACCTACCCAAATCGATTCAAGGTGGTGCACCGAAAGCCCCAAAATGGGATCCCATTGGTTTTGACCACTGCCATTTTCGAGAGGGGTCCGGGTGCCCATCGATCCGAACCCGTGGGAAACCACCCGGGGAAAGATGTGGCGCCACGAGATGGTCTTTGGCGGCGGGTCTTTTGGGTTGCCATGGAAAACTTGGGACATTTGCACATGAAAAAGCTGATGCTATGGTTAAACCTTCAAGGCCCCACTTCAAGCTCCATGAAGCCAGGTCTCACTTGAGAGGATTGAAAGTCCAAAGTGCATAAGGCTTCCACTCAACCGGTCCCAGACCAACTCGGAGAGTGAAAGGTAGGAACGTCCCAGTCAAAGCCTGCACATGGCCTAAATCCAATTTGAAAAATCAAGGGCAGCTGCCCGTACTGTGCAAGGGGATTGTCCGTTCACCTTCACGCCTCGCTTTGAGTCTGGCTCAAATGAACCAGCTACTTTGATGGGCACCCTTTGACTTTTCACAAACCCAGTAGGCCTCACCCTGTACCAGTTCCGTACTTGCCACGGGCAATGCCTGATAAAGTTGAAGTCGGAGACACCTAATAGTTAGCAACCGACTAACACATGAGTGCTCCTCAAAATGGGATCTTAACGTACAAAGGACACCCTTGGCATTTGAAGGGCCCGAATCCTATTTTGAGAAACCTCTGTACTGGGTGTTTTTCTTTTTTGAGCGTTCCCCCTTGTTTGCTGCTTGAACCAGAAAGCCTAAGGGTTTTAGCCACCATGTTGTGTCCCAAAAACCAAACGGCGAGCCACAAAGGTGTCTGAGGCCTCAGCGGTGCCGGGTGCCAAAGCCTGTTTCTGCAGAGCTCCGCTACCCGCCGCGACCTGCAGAGGCGTCCGGGCGTGTCTGATTTCGGGGATGTCCACAAAATTGCCGGAGGCCCTTTGTTGGTTGTCCTTTAAAACTACAAATTGCTGGGGCACCCAGAGAAAAAACAAAAACAAACAAAAACAAAAACGAGTGCTAAAGCCATGGAGATCCACTTGTTTGGTGCTTTCGTTTGTGTTTCAAGGTGACCCCAGAAAGGCGTGGTTCAAGGGACTTGAAAAGCTGGTCACAACTCGATTGGTGGGAACTATGTCTCAAAGGAGAAGCAGCCCTCCCTGGACTTTGGCCTCCTCTCCTAAAATTAAGCAGGTGCCCTCAGGATAAACAATTCAAATGCATTTGCAATATAGTGCATTTGCCCCAGGTGACCTCTCTTTGCAGCGACTGTTGCATTAGACATTTGCATTGCATTCAGCAGCATGTGTGTCTTGACGATCGCCACAGCATTGTGCAGCATTTGCAGCGACTTTTGCATTAGACATTTGCAGCGCTCATCTCAGGTGAGGACGTAAACCCCAGTAGGCTTTTCCCCATTTGTGAAGCAAAACGGGAAAACACATGAAACAGCTAAGGCCAACCTGGGTTCAATTGGGTCTGGGTCTGAAAACCAAACAAACACATCCCAGTGGTTTCGCTGACTTCCCCTAGGGCAAACCGTCTCCACCCTATTGCCATGGATTCACAAGTAAATGGGTGTTGTTAACCTTGACACGTGAAGGAACAACAGGGATCC